GCCAGCCTCGGCGCCCTCGAGGGCGGCTGGCCCCCCTTTACGAGCCACATCGCCTTCGAGCTCTTCCGCCACGCCTCCACGCCGGCACCCTCCTCCCCTTCCACCGCCTCAAGCTCCCCAACCAGCTGGATCTCATCCCTCTTCACCAGGTCCGGCTCCTCCTCCGCCGCCTCCGGCATCGGCCGCAAGAAGACCCCGGACCTCTCCCCGGCAGAGAGGCAGAAGCTCGATGGCTACTACGTCCGCGTCAGGTTCAACGACAAGCCCGTCACCATCCCCGCCTGCAAGACTCCCGGGAACCACCTCGAGGGCGACCAATCCTTCTGCACATTGGTACGTTCAAACCAGTAGTATAACTTTCATCGTGTATTCCAAGGGGATAAAAAGCTAACGAGACCCATCAACAGGCCACCTTCAAAGCTGTTGTTGACAAATTCACCCCTGAGAACTGGAGGGAGGAATGCCATGCCTCTGGCGCTCCGGCGTTCCCCTCTAAGCCCGAGCCGGCAGGCTACTAGTTTCTGTTCTACACCAAGCCCAATAGGTTTTGGTGCCTCTTTTCTAATACATTCATATAAACAGGAATTAAAATCGGCTTTGGTTACAATAAGTTACAAATCACTTCAGTCTTCTAGGTAGTTAAGAGAGACAATTCGATAGATAGAAACGGGACTGGAACTGTCTTTATCTCTGCCCATGGTTTTCTCTCTTCCTCCTCTTTTCTGGCATTACAACAGGCGTCGTCTCTTTATGCATATATGATTCATTTAGAACAGACTGATTAGGTGCAGTACGTAGTGATCGTAAGGAAAAAAAAAGACTCTTTCTGCTTACGCTTACAAAGTATACTAATGCGAAGACAAAAGCTTGACGCACACAACTATGCAATACCGAGAATTCTGACAATGCCTCCTCCGACTGTCCTCAACTTTCACTACCCTCATGCTATAGACCATTTCCTCATACACTATGTGGCACAAGCGACAGTTTTCAACCGTTTGTTTTTGTTCCAAGACACTATTTTCCGCGTTTCATTGATCCTTTCACACCGTTATGTCCACAACATTCTCTCATGCCTGACCACTACCAATTCCAAGGTAGCCGACAACGATCACACTTGCTTGCGTATTTGTGTAGCACGCAAGAAAACGAATTGCAGGAAACAAGACGTAAATATCCAATAAATACACATCATACACCGGAAAAGGAGGGTGGAATTACCGATAAAGAAAAAGAAAAAATTTGAGAAGGCCGATAGTATTAGAGCGAGAACAGAGACGTTTTCTCGCGGCAATTACAACAATGTAAATTTCCGTCATTTTGCGAATCAGGTCATTAGTTTGCCACCTCTTCCTCGACCAATCCGTTCAGGCCTCCCTGGAGGGAGAGGCCAGCAAAGCCACCACCAATGCCACCAAAGCTGGACTGGTATTGGTGGCCACGTCGTTCACCATCGCTTCCGTTGCTACCGGGGCCACTGCTGGGGCTGGTGCCTCCGTTTTCGAAACCGGGGGCAAGCAGTGGGAGACTGACAGCACGGCTATGCTGAGAGCGAGAATTAGGAGCGAGAAGACCGCCAATAGTTGGAGCAGTTGTTGCCACGGCACTGGTCACGGTAAAGCCGTTCGAGATGCTGGCCGATTGCCCATGACCACCAATGGGAGGCTGTTGGGGTACCTCAATAGACAGATCCGGGGGGGACTGCTGAGCGGTGCCAAACAGGGCATTCTGCTGCACCGTAAGCTGCTGCTGCTGCTGCTGTTGCTGTTCGTGCGCCTGCTGGGACAATTGGCTCAGGTACATCGTCAGAGGGTTGCCATTTGGAGGAAACGAAGCCTGTTGCTGAGATGTAGTGGGGGTGGGCGCGTTGTCGTTCAAGGTAGGGGCAGGGGATACGCTGCCGTCGCCGCGGGAGGCCTGGGGGTTCTGAGCCTGGCGAGGAGCGTTACCGCATCGATCCTTGCCAAAGTTGACTTTGAACTTCTTGTATTCCTCCCGGCCTCGAATTGCCTCTATGGCCTTGATGGCGTTGGCAATATTGGTGAAGTTGACGAAAGCACAACTCTTCTCTCGCAGTGCGTTGACCAACTCAATCTCGCCAAACTCAGTGAAGTCCTGTCGCAGTCGTTCCTCGGTCCACGTCTCATCCAGGTTGCCAATATAGACATTTCGAGACGCACCACCGCTGACAGCCATGGCAATGGCGGGGGGCAGAGCACCGGAATGCTTTCCCCATCCAATCTTGAGACGGCGGTTGTGAATCATCAGGCCCTGCAGGTTGCTCAGGGCGTAGAAGGAGGCAGCGGCTGTGGGGTCAATGAACGTGACGAAACAGATGTGCTTGTCGGGGATGTATCGGATGTGATGAAGCAAACCGCCCCGTACAACATTGCAAATCTCCTCGATGGTTGTCTCAGGGTGGATGTTTCCGAGGTAAATGGTTCGGTTACCCAAGTTGTTGATACCACCAGCGGTTGTGGCCACAGCAGCGGCAGCGACTGATTGCTGGGCCAGGGCGCTCGAGATAAGATCCCGGTCAGCGCCGGTCAGCATGTGAGCGTAGCCTGGAGAAATACCAAGATACTGTGCTGCATTTTGCTGCTGTGTCTTTGACACATAGGCGCACCTGTCCTTGCCGTAGTAGACTCGTCGGGGAGCTTGCCATTTAGCCTCTTGGGGAAGCTGCGAAACGGCCTTGATGGCATTGGCAATGGAGAGGTAGTGAACAAAGGCTATGTTCTTCTCACGGACGACCTTAATGGTGTCAATTGCGCCGAACTTGCCCAAATCCTCACGGAGTTCCTCCAAAGTGATCTCCTCAGGCAAACTCCCCAGGTAGACATTTCGGGAGGCCCCTGACTGCTGAACAGCAAGCGCCACAGAGGTCGGGACCTGGGAAGGCTTGCCCCAACCCACCTTGATATCTTGACCCTTGATGCAGAGCTTCTTCAGAATAGCATCTGAGTGAAAGTGGGTTGCGGAACTGGCATCCAGGAAAGAGATGAAGGCGCAGTTCTTGTCAGGCAGAAGTCGCACGGACTCGATCTGACCGCTTCTAACATGGCCAAGAATCTCCTCGGCAGTTGTGTCAGGAGGAATGTTGCCCAAGTACACGGTGCGGCTGGTACCGGTGACAGCTCCAGCATTCATTGCAACTGGAGAGGTGGGCCCCATCTGCGACTGCATGGAGAAGGTACCAGTCGGTGACTGAGGTGGAGCATAGAATTGGGGAGCGCCGTATGCTGAAGGTGAAACCATCGCTTGATAAGTCTGGGGAGACATGGCCTGTATAGGGCTGGTTGCACCGTTTTGTTGTCCATTGCCCTGGTGCGGTTGCTGCAAGCTCGTGATGTTTTGGTACTGAGCGTTGGAGAAGGCGGCAGGTGTTCCAGGCTGGAATGGGCTACCCAGGAGGAGCTGTGACGGCAAGAGAGGGGTGAAGTTCATGTCGAATCCTGTTCCAGGGGTCTGCATGTCGTTCGTGGGTAGCGCCTGGGCCTGGTTCATTGCCTGGGCGCTCAATGTGGGCACGTTTCCACGACGAGGATGGCGGTCGGCAAAGCCAGAAACATTCGAAGCAAAGGCACCATGGGAAAATCCGGTTTCGCTGTTAGAAGGCTTCGATACATGACCGAGTCGTCCGGCACTGGGCCTCTGGCCTACGGCACCGTTTAGGTCCTGCATTCTTAGAAAATCAAGGGGAAACTGAGTGTCCCTCCCAACTTGAGCTAAAGTCGCCGTTTTGAATCCAAACTGTGCCCTGACAAAGGCACGGAGAAAAAGCTAGTAAAGCAGCCGGTATCCAGCTGACCAGAAATAAGACAGTTGAGCAGAAACGAAACCAAGTCCAGCCAGAGATTAGGTGATATCAAGCCGGAAGAGGTCAAAAGTCGTCGGATCTGTCCTCGAAACCGGGGAAAAGAAGATTTGTCGAGTTAAAAAGCTATCCTGCTCTTGAGGGGTCAAAAAGTATATATAAATAGAGAGTCCCTGAGCTGAGTGGTCTCAATGGACATGAAATGTAGGTCGTATATCCAAATATTCGATCGCAACAGAACCTTCGACGAAAAGTATTAACCCCGAATGATGGAGAGCCAAAGCAGAAAAGTGAGCTGACGCAAGCCAAAAGTCGTCTGTAACGACAGTGCGAAGAATATATTGTCCAGCAGGCAAAGGCGTATAATATCAACGGTTGCGTGTCCGGGCAGATGTTATGCGAGAGGCAAATAGTGGGAGCTCAACCAACAAAGGCGAACACTGTCGGTTGGATCTCAATGGAGCGCGCGGGAAGAAAATGACGATAAAAATGTATATAAATAAGTCGAGCGAGTGACGAGCAAGTTCGAAGTAGAAGTATGGAAAAGAAGCTTGATGCTAGGACGGTACAGCGCAAGTCATCACCTGTATAATAAGTTGTCAGAGGGAGGGATTGAGAGAGCAAGTGCAAGGTCGCAGAGCTGAGAGGCTGAGGCGCATGATCGAGTAGGGAGGCGGGCGGAACGGGAGGGTCACCGGGAAGGATGATGAGGATCTTGGAGGAAGAGAGAGGACAGAGGGGAGGTTTTGGCGATTTGTCTCTTGGGGAGTTCGTCGCTAGGGTCCCAGACCCTGGGGTGGAAGCACAACCGGGTTTCCTTACCATGAAGGGGACGGGCAGGCACAATGGCTGGTCCAAAGCAAGAAGAGAAGGTATCTTACCACCAATTCCTGTCTCAATGTGTGTAGAAACAGAAGAGAAGGTACGGTAGTCCTGCAGAGGAGGATGTATCCGAAGCAGGAAGAGTAGAAATGCGGACTCTGGACCGTAGAGCAGGAAGGAACAGAAGTAGTGGCTTCTAGGAGTGGAAAAGCAAGAAGACAAAGAAAGGGAAAAGGGGACCCTGGAAAGGTGGTCAACGAAACTGGGAGCAAAGCCGGGGATAGCCAAGCCGTGGGCAACGGGTGAGCGCAAGACAAGGCAAGGCGACTGAAGAAGCGCGGCAGCTGCACCTGGGGGGTGTGGATTCAAAAAGAGCGAGCGGGAGAAAGAAAGATGAGCAATAAAAAAGGATTAGCGAAAGTGAAAGAGAGTGAAGGGGGGCAGGTAGCTAGCGGTGGGAATGGCAAGAGAGCGTGCAGAGAAGGAGAGGAAAGGCAGAGGGGGGGTCGTGCGGCGAGTGGACAATTGCCCAGAATGGGGTTGAGGTTGGAATTCGTCGTGCTGGATATTATTTAGTTTAATGACAGCGGGCAGGGGTTCAGGGGGTGGGATGGAGCTCACTCATCCATACCTCGACCGCAGGTACCTCCATCCTGCGGTCGTCCAGCGAGTGCCAGCAAGCAAGGGCCCTGCCTGGTGGTCCCCAGCCCAGCCCAGGCACACAGTGCACACCCGGCCGGGACATGCACAGCGTCCAGGGGGTTCTCGACCCCAAACTCTTCCCGTCTCCGAGGGCGTTGTGAACTAGGACCTACCTAATTCTCTCACGGACAATGATGATAACACGTACTAACGTCGGTGGCTGTAGGCAAGGTACGATCGCATCAATTGCAGGCGAACTGGAGCCGCGCCGCGTGCCTGCGTGCAGTCTGTTCGGAGGCAGCCTACCTATCCAGCCATGGAAGACTCCGGCAGGTAATAAAGGTAGTAGATACTAGCCGCATGGAAACGATCCATCCATCAATCACCTTGCGACATGCTACAGCCACCAATTGTACAGCACTCGTATCAATCGAAAACGCAGTCATGACATTACTGGCATGGTATAATTAGATCAGTTCTGGACACCCGCCGATGATCCAGCTCAGCTCTCACATCGCTGATGCGTCTGCATTTGCTACTGCGATGCCTCTGTGTACATGACATTCTTCAGTCTCACCCCCCTCCATCGTCTCTGGAGTCCCAAGAAACGGACCTGACCCGCGCGCGACGCCGCTGCTCTTCCACCTGCATACGTTTGCAGCTAGCAGGCTTATTATTAGCACAGGCTGCATAACCAGTCAGGACACCGCTAACTAAACATAAATTTCTAATGTAAGATCATCTACACGATTATATGCAAGGATGTGCATTCCAAGTCTTTCCTGAGGTAAGCCTGCAGGTTTCTGACATCCGGCAAGACCACCTTTCCAACAACGTCGGCTTTCCATCTACTCGTAGATTTCTTGGACAGGCCGGCATCTCGCCCGTCTCAGGTGCCTCGTTCGGGGCCATGGCCGGACTCGAAACCTCCATCCGATCCATCCACCCATCCAGTGCCCATCTACGGCAGGTACATCCTCCCTCTTGTCCCGGCAAAGGGGCATAATTGGCGGTGACCCGACCTGAACTCCATGGGGAACAGCCAACCAGCCTCGCCTGCTGCTGCTACCTTCCTCCACCCGAGTACATGGCCTCTAGCCCGAGGCAGGCTCGGCGGGGAGATTCCTTTGCAAGTGGGATTAAGAAAAATGAAAAAAAATTCTTGTGCTGCAGAAACCCTCTCCCGACATCAATCCTTGACGCCTTCTGAGATATCACCGTGGATATCACCGTCTCTATCCAGACTACCGCCACGTCTTCTCGTCCTAATTAAGATATAAAATGACCAGAAGCGATTTAGTGTTGTACATACACACACACCTCACTAGGGAGACGTGATGTGCGCTCGACCCAATATTTGGCAGAGCCTAGACTTGACATTCTCCAACGACCCTTGTTCCCACCTGGATGCTCCCCTCCCTTCCTGGACAGGGCTGACCTTCTGATATCATGTACCGCACAGAAAACACGCGATTTTACTGTTTATTTCAACCGTTGAGTAGCCAAGACTTCCTGCGCTGTCTACGCTCGATGCCCTTGCGGCAGGGAATGTTGGCAGCACGCAAGACGGCTGGAAATGAGCCAAAGTTCCATCCCGAGGGTATTGACCACCAACGAGGCGCTGAGCCTTCAACAACGAGGAATGTTGTATTATGGCCATTACTTATTGACCGAGTGACAACAATAGGATGAGCTGCTGGCCAAAAGCGAATGGCACTGTCCAACCTAGGTGAGCGTGGGGTCGTATTGTCAAATTTCCCCCCCTTTTCCCTTGCCCAACTAGTGTCGACAAGTACCTTAGTAGAGTGGTGATAGTACAGTAGTGCTCCGTCCATAGTAAGGGATAGCTGGGTTATTAATTATCACACTCGCCTGTTCCTCTCCTAATACCAGATAAGGAGGTATGGCGGTAGATGGCCTCTGGTGACTGTTGCTAGTCGCAATCCACGCCGAGATTCTGGCTTGGCATCTCGCTCACGTACCCAAGGCCCTCCTCACAAGGTATCATGGAGTAGCGCACAATGGGAGCTCTTCCGCCCCCGCCCGAGTATACAATAACGCAGCGTGATGAGGTGCAGAAGTATGCGGTGAGATGTGATAGCGATTTACCTAAGCATCAAAGGGCCCTTTGGCAGCCCGTGGCAGTCTGACCTGACCTGCCTACATCATGGCCTGGCTTGGCTTGGCTCTCAAGGATGGATGCCGGTGGAGAGGCTAATACTAGCAGACAACACGCGTCCATCTCTGAGAGATCGGTTCACCATCCACCCCTTGCGTCTGCCCGCCTCTTGGACCATGCGGGCATGCAGTAACGTACATATTATCCCATTTACCAGCGAGCTCGGTCGGTGCCTCGATCACTCCCTTCGAGGACCGACTCACCAATTGCCGTCGCAGCATCGCATCCTCGACTCAGCCCGAGACCATTCTCCACATAAACGGCCGTGTACGTACAAACTACCTTAGGCAAGTAGGTATTTGAAGATACTATGTATATCCATCAGATTAGCTACACGATGGCTATCCTTTGGTCAGCGGCCCCTCATGGTGGGGTTGAACCCCATTTTGTCTCTTCAACAGCCGGAAAAAAAAATTATAGATGTGGAAAAAAAAAGTCGCGATGAAGATACTCTATCATCCCTCGCCCTCAGCCTCCCTCAGAAGGAAGGTCAGTGGATCTAGCAAAACATAAATATAGCTCAGGATCTACAACTCGCATCTCACCCCGATCCTTCACTGTGCAGTCAAAATTCCACACACAGCTTACCAGAACCTCGGACCTTTCCAAGGACATTTGTCAAGCCATATCTGTCTTCATCTTGGGATCTTATGAACTTGGCGCTTATTCAGCCCCGAGTGTGGCTCAACACCCACTGACTCATGCCGCCCGTGAATAACTAGCAACGAGTCAGAAACACTTCGCAGCTTTGATTTTTGCATTGCCAGTTCCATATTTTCTCCGCTCCAATGAGGATACAAGAGTAAGAAGCAGGAATGTGTACGGGGTACCTGCTGAGGCCAGATGACAGCGACACCTACCATTTATAGACCGACCTATGTGGTTTGTTCGCATTCCCATCGGACATACACTTTTGGTTGATAACTATCATCTACCTATCCACTCGTTACATTCTAGTTTCATCAACTTGCATCCATGGAAATATATAGTTGCAATAGTCCCCATCAATTCAAAGAACTTCTTCCAGAGTATGTCGTGAAATGACACAGCAAGCCCATCGCAGGATGCTCCCGTCCGGCAGAGCTTGATTCCGAAATGTATTTCCGAAATGAGATAGTCTTACGACGACTGAGCCAGTTACTATCATCATCGGCCGTATTCTCGAAAGGCCATATATAAGCTTATTTTTGTTCTTCTTGAACGCTAATGCCGGATGTCCATTACCTGGCCGATCTCTTATCCAATAGTCACGGTAGCAAAACTATGCGCATATTCCAAATCACAAACTTCAAAGCGGCTACTGGCCTCCATGACATTACCTTCACTTGCTATTCCTATAACCAAGTTGTCCCCGGCATGATTGCTGTTGACAGATGAATCGCATGCGCACGATTCGGCCGAGAATGGCAATAGCGAGATCTTGAACCAGACAGCTAACATCATTGAGCAATGACAGGGTCTTTAGCACGACTGTCGACCCTGTGCGTAGATAATCTAGCCTTTCCTCCCCTGTCCTGAACTGCTGGTAAACCCCCTTCACCCCCGGCGCCTGTGGTGCGAGTGATAAATTGAGAACGTTCTCGATTAACGCGTTGCATTGACTTTGCTGGGTCGAACCCACCAGGACCCTCGACGTCAATGCTCGCCTTCCACAGGCCAATTGTGCAAGCAGGGTCAAATAGAGGGGGCACCCCTTATTCACGGAAATTTGTGGCTGCTTTCAGAGACCCCTGTCCGTCCTACATCAAATGGCGAGCAACAGCGAAAATGACTGGTCGTGATTATGAGGCGGTTAGTACATGGCATGAATGATGAGTGAGTGGACAAGAGGAAAAACCATAGACGTGTTAGGAGTTGGAAAAATGAATCATTTGCTCGCATTGCACTCCGGTCGCCAAACTGTCCTATCGAAGTATTCCTGCCGGTATTTATGATTCCCCAGGTCCCAAAATCAAGACAAAATGACGAAAGGCAAAATACTGGCCAAGTAGACAAAAAAAGCATCGATAGATCTAGAGGAGAGATTCAACGGGGGGGGAGGAAGCAACACGATCCAGGCTGAACCGAGTCCTTATGGCGAAAGGGTCTCATGGGGTCTGCGATCATCTATAAAGGTCGGGAGTCGGGACCAGGATACCGGTATCTGTAGCTTCCCATCATTCCATCCTCGCCCCGTCGACATGTGAACAAATCCAGGAGAAGCTCGACCACTTGAAAATCGCTTGAAACTCATCAATTCCACTTCTCGGGCAGCCTATATGCCCGTGTCTTCTCCACTGGGAGCGACCCTTTCAATCTTCGGGGTGGAGTCTCAATAACCTGAGGGGGTAGTTTAAAAAAAAAATGAACAATTATAACCATTCCGTATTACAGGATCATGCACTTGTGCGATTTCTTTTTCATTGGTTGGGGGGGCTCCAAAGCGGCGACAATGGCCTACAGCAATTATTAGCGTCTTGAGGTCTCTTGGACCGGGCACAGGGAAGCAGCTTACCTCGTCGAACACATCCTTCAACTTATACTGGGTCAAAGCACTGCACTCGACGTACTTGACAGCGCCAAGCTCCTTGGCCATCCGCTCACCATCCTCTCTCCTTACTGGAGACATCTTCTGCTTGGCAAGCTTCTCTCTGACGCTAGGATCATCTCGAAGATCGACCTGGGTACCAACAATAAGGCATGGAACGCCAGGGCAGTGGTGGTGAACCTCGGGGAACCACTTCTCGCGAACGTTTTCGAAGGAAGCTGGGGAGGTGACGCTGAAGCAGACGAGGAAGACATCGGTCTGAGGATACGAAAGGGGACGCAGTCTGTCGTAATCTTCCTGACCAGCAGTATCAAATAGACCCAAGGTGTAAGGCTCGTCGCCGATCCTAGATTCGGGACCTGGGTTAGCCAACTGTTCTACTCGGGGCTTTCCATCATCTGGCTGCATGATTCAAGGACAATCGGAATGATCCATCTCGCTCAACGTTTCGCACACCGTCGGTGACCAAGTCGTGGGGAGCGAACGTCGGTATACGCGTGGGCAAGTTGGGGGCGGAAATTGACAGGGGCGCAAGAGATAAGACATACATGACAGTGACAGCATAATTGTCGAAGACGGTAGGAACGTATTCGGACGGGAACTTGTTGGTTGTATAGCTGATGAGCAAGCACGTCTTACCGACAGCACCGTCACCGACGACAACACACCTATATCATGGTTAGCAAATGAAGTTCGAATGATGCGACAGATACGCAAAACGAGGCAGTAAAAGCTGCGTATCAGCACTGCAGCTGCACACCAGGTGTGATGGCAAGATTGTTATTCAATTAGACAGCTTCGCTCCCTCGTGAAAATCCAAATATGCATTTGCGCTTCATGCCCGGTCGGTGCGACGCAAAGCCAAGGAGAGCAAGGCAGAGAGGGGGCCGAGGAGAATGGGGGATATGGCGAAGCCAAGGCCAGCACATACTTGATAGTTGCAACCACCGCCATTTTGTATTCTGGTTATATGGAGCAAGGAAACGCTTAAAACGCCAGCGGAAGCTGTGCTGCGAAGAAGGGTCGAGGAGTGTGCCGTCGATCAGCTGATGGGGCTCGCAGAGTTCTGGATGGCTGGTGAGCGTGGGAAGGCTTGGAGGAGACCAGAGGTGAGCTGGCGAGGTTCGAGGTGGAGGGCCCGTAGCTTGGCAGCAAATACGAGAATCACGCTCCAGGCAGTAAGGATTCCGTATGCAGAGAAGCTCTAGCGGGTGGGAGTTATGGGATGAGCCAGTCCAGGACAGTCGGGGGCGATGAATCGGGGAAGATGGCGGGAGACAGGAGAGGATGTGGGAGATGACGACGGTTTGGCTTGGGGCTAGAAAAGATGATGGGGGGAGGATAGTTTGGCAGGAAGCCGTTGGCGGCGAGTAAGTATGGAAATGATCTGGCAGCCAGGCTGGGTAATGGCTCCGTGCTATCAGGTAAGCTGGGAGGATAAATAAGGTAACCACTGGCTCATGCAGTGCTGATGGAGAGGCATAACCATGGATGGCGGGAGTGCCCACTGGCTGGCGGGCAGTTTCATTAGCAGCATGAAGCGCTGTCAGGCAACGCCAGCAGCCAGGCTGCAGTGAACCTGGACTGCCTCGAGGGGCCAGAGTTTCTCACACCCGCTAGCGGAGGGTGGTCCGGGCGTCAAGAACTGCCTGGGGGGCTTTTTGGGCTTAGGCTGGGACTGGACGGGCTGGTTCTGGCGCTGGTTCTAGCACGCCTTGGGCTGTCCGACACTTGTCCCTGCCGCCTGGGTCCCATTACATTGGCTGCCAAGTAGCAGTGGTGGGGGCTCTGGCTGGTCAGTCGCGTCGGGGAGCCTCCATCAAGCAAAGCCTTTTATTACCGCCAGCGCAGTCTCAGAGCAGTGCAAAGCTCCATGTTAATATCATTTGCGTGCTACGACGCACCAGTACTAGTTTTACTCTCGTAGCGCGGGAATCGGGTGGACCTCGACACTAGTGGGATGAATGGCAAAATGCCATGGCAGGCAGGCACCAAGCAGTCAATCACATCACGAGTGAACAAGTGCTTGCACATGCGAAGGTGAACAACCACACACATAGGTAGGTAGACACATCCATCTACGTACATGCCAAAGAAAGGGGGGCCCGAGCTGAGGCGGGGCACAGGGTGAGCATGGCCAACGACTGGACAGAGTCGTCTGTTGAGCAAGTGGAAGCACCTACAGCATAAACGGGGAGGTATAATTAACCCACGAGATGGAGACAAGGCATAGGGATAGGGCCACAGCAGTCGGTTGCAGAAGGTGAGGAGATCCAATGGATGGGTGGATGTGTGCTGTGAACCGAGATGGTGTGCGAGTGCCCCGCGTACTTTCTTCTAGGTCCGTTTCTCGAAGGCGAGTGTATCTCACCTCACTGCCTCCCTATCTCGGCGGGCACCCGGCACATCAACTGCCTACAACGGACTCTGCGTTGACCGTCACCAACGAACATTGCATGCTGGTGCATGTCCGGCGGTCAATGTCTATAGGCCATCCCGGCGGTTTGCTGGTGAATGCGGCAGGCATCATCTGGAAGTTCCTTCTTCCCGCTCCGCTGGGGGCCAGCAGAACCCATTCATCCCCCCCCCTAATGGTGCTAAATTGCCAGCTATACTCAGAGCAGGTAGCACCTGGAGTGAGCTAACCAATGCAGCATCACTCCAATTTCAGGCTGTGACGCATGAAAGAGCGTGCAAAGATACAGCCAACTGGCATGAGCATTCTTATCACAACTGCTCACACTCACGCTCGCTGGTCTCAATTGCCGCCATCAGTCGCCGCAGCGTGTCTCAGCCCAGCAGCCACCAACACTGGTCATTTTGCTACTCCCCTGCCCAAGGTTGCATCTGAAATACCATCCCCATCCCTCCCCAACAGGCTACCCAGCTTGCGAGGAGCCATCACAGCTTGTCTTTTGCCTGGGCTCACCTGTTCTCCTGAATGAATTTACCAATTGCCCAGGGCAGAGGCCCAGACCTGCAATTCCACGTGGCGCCCGACTCACGTGTTCATTCTGCAGGGTCGTCCCATCTGCTGGGAAACATCATCCCTGTTGATAACGGCTCGCAATCTATACTACCTGATACCTGCCCCTTCAAGTGAAAGGGGCTCATTATTACCAAGGGACGTGCTCTCCTACTCGTTCATGCGATCCAACTCATCGAGAATCATAAAGAGATGCGGTTTCCGTTCTTTTATTTCTAGCCAAAGCCTATCGCCTGCTATACTGCAGGTTTTCCCATAGAAGATACATCCGCCGAGTCGGAATGGAACCCTTTGGGCGGTGCTCCGCAATTCGTTCATGAGAGCCACCATGTCAAGCCGTCCACCGCGCAGCATCTTGAACTACTAAAATAGTGACCGCCATCTCTCTCAAAGGCAGGGTTATCATGCTCCTCCTGCCGTGTGCAATTATCGGTCACACAAACCCGAGGAATCACTGGAATAATACGTAGCCATATTTTTACTCTAACAACTTACCAACCAGCGGTATGCTCATCACTCGCATCTTCCCACTTTTCTAGGGATGCCTAGAAGACCCCCTCTCCATACCAGGCTCATAGACGTCCTTCCAAAGAACAGTCTGTTGTACGGATTGTACGCTTCGTGGTGAACAGTATGTTGAAGAAAGCAACAAGCAAATTGTTTTCTACGTTCGATCTACCATAGATGCCCCCCCAGAGATGTATAACCCGCCCACCAGCAAGTGGATATCCGCTGTCCTCGGCCTCCGAATTTAGCAAATATATGGATTAAAACCAAAAAGATGTCCCATCAAACTCCTCAACTCCTCAAGCAAGGAACAATGAGGCGCTGAGATCCGATTGAGCCCTCATCACCTCAATCCAGCAGCTGTCCAGATGGAATGGAAGCCGCGTCGTTGATTTCAACCAATAAACGTAACAATGGCTCTTCTAGCCTCACTCCTTCGGAGCGAAAAGCGACCCGTATTTCTTGAAATCCGTTCATCAGCCGGTCTCATTGTCACGACGGCTTCCTTTGCCACATTCACTGTATGAACTCCCTTTTTCGTCTTATTGTGGGTATGCCTAACCTTCGTACTTGAAAGGACGTCTTCTTATACGCGGTCATTGTCCCCGTACTACCATTTTCCTTGTCTAGCCGCGCCGGTGTCGCTGAAGATCAAGGTATGTCTCAAGTGGCATTTGTCGCAACCGTTATATCACAAGGCTAAGACATGCATGACATGGCCAATAGTTCAGTACTGGATCTCAATATCCCTGGCTGTCTATGGAGCCGCCCTCCTCGCTTCATCCCGTACGTGCTATGAACCCTCCCAACACCCCGAGCACTCCCAATTGACCTTTCATCTCGTGCCACAGCCATCTGGGGGTATCTCGCGGACCGGATCCGCAACCGCAAGATTCCCATGCTGGTCGGCCTGATATTCCTCACCGGTTCCACAGTGTTCCTCTGCTTGGCCACTAACATCGCCATGCTACTAGTCGGGCGCGTGCTACAAGGCTGCTCCGCCGCCCTCACATGGACCGTTGGCCTCGCCCTCGTCGTCGATTCCGTGGATGCTAGTCAACTTGGAATGGCAACGGGCTGGGTCGGCATGGCCACCAGCTTGGGGGTGCTCCTCGCGCCTCTGTTGGGCGGTCTCGTCTACGAGCATGGTGGCTACTACTCCGTATTCGCCATGTGTTTCGGCATTCTTGCTGTTGACATCGCACTTCGAATAGCCATCATCGAGGTCAAGGAAGCCAAGAGGTGGATAGACAAGACACCTGTGCAGAGTACTACCGAGATGTCTGGTGCTATCAAGGATGTTGTTACTAAATCGGAGCCCACAGGAGATAACGCTGTCCAGCGCGTTGGTAAGGATAACACGATGGCGGAGATGTCTGAGGAAGCTACTCTCAATCGTAACCAACCATCGCCGGCTTCCAAACACAACCATGTTATCGGACCCCTGATCGGGCTGCTGCGCAAACCAAGACTCCTCGCTGCTCTATGGGGCACTCTAGTCCACGCCATCATCCAGACGTCGTTTGACAGTACGCTCCCGCTCTTTGTCAAATCAACATTTCACTGGGACTCGACCGGCGCAGGACTAGCCTTCCTCCCATTGGTGGCTCCCTGCTTTATCAGCCCGCTCATCGGGATCATGAACGACAAGTACGGGCCCAAGTGGCTCGCAACAAGCGGCTTCATCATCGCTACGCCGTTCCTGATATGTCTTCGCTTCGTGTCCGAGGATAGTATCAACCACAAGATCATGATGTGCGGACTGCTGGTGGGCGTCGGGCTGGCCGTCGCCCTGGTATTTGGTCCTCTGATGGCGGAAATCTCCTGGTCGGCAGTCGATGGCATGGATCCGACGCAAGACGACATGTCAGCCGTGCCCTACGCACAGGCATACGGGCTGTACAACATGGCGTTTTCGGGCGGGTGTATGCTCGGGCCCATATTGGGTGGCCTGATAAGGGACAGAGCTGGATGGCCCACGGTCTGTTGGGTGCTAGGGCTGATCACTGCGGCATCGACAATCACACAAGCCCTCTGGATCGGAGGGCCTCTGAAGCTGAAGCTGCCAGGACGAGCCGGTGAGTCGTCGTAGTACCACAACATGCAGAGCTATGACGTAGTTCATGATACCCAATGCCAAGGCTATTCCATCAAACAAATCGAGAGCGTCGTCTAAAGATTGCATGAAAATCACCCACATTACCTAAACTGATAAGGGACGAGCCGGGTCAGCATCGTCACATTATGGAGATCTCACCTTTCTTCGGCATGCAGGTACCACATCCCGTCCCCAGGCCAGCCCATGATCTACATGTGGCTGAAGATGCGTTAGTGGTCAATGCATGAGGACAGGTGAGACATTCTCGAATCCAAGCCAATGGGCCAGAAACGTGGCGTGCCGCTAGACGAGCCCAAAACACACTCCCGACCTCACCAGCAGGGCATCGTCGTCGGCACGTTGTTTGAACCACCGTGTGCGATGCCTCTTCAGCTTAGTCTGAGCCCTCCTCCACGCTTAAGCTGCGTACTACATATCAGCGTGCAACCAACTACGTAGCAGGCTGCTGCCATGCCCTCCAGTGGGTTCTCTGCTCGTCTGGAGTCTTCTCAACCTGGTTCTTCAAGGCTTCGGGCTCGGCAACGGCCCCACCACCTCGAAACTAGCTGAAAAGTTGGTGGTATCACGATCCTGTCACTCACGCCTCGTCAATGCATTCCGCTGCACGTCTGTCTGCCTATGGTAGGAGGAACATCAGATGGTTCCATAAACCGTCCTGCGCTGCACGTTTCCTTGCCGTTCAATCAGCCGCTATGCATCTCCTCTTCTCAACTAAGAAGACCGTAACCGCCGGATGGCCCATCCGGCTTCAGCTTCCCCGTCCGTCCATCAGTCTGACGATCCCGCCCACTGATCTGCGCCCTACATCATCCTTGGCGCATCCCGCCTTCCCCTTGTATCAAGCTTCATCTCCCCCATATCGCATGACAGAGGTTCTCTTTCCACGTGGAGCACACAGCCCACAAGTGCCGCACCATTCTTCAGCTCGCAGCGCATTCCAAGAAGAGAAAGCTGGACGGCACTCATATGCATGATGATGGACATATTGAGACATTTCAGCTTCTGGTGTACATTGTGATAGCTAACTGTAGATGGTGGCTTGGCTATATAATCAGTCCAATGATCCGCCTCGAATGTTCCTTTGCCCAGTCCATCCGCATTAAACATCACTTACAAGGCATTCGATCACCCAGTCCGTGAAGAACCCATCCATTGTCACCCACCTAGAACATCCTAGACAAAATGGTCGCCAAGTCCTTCATCGTCGCCCTCCTGGGCCTCACCTCCGTCTCGGCCGCTTGCACCGGACCTGCTGTCAACTCTGCCACCGTCTCCCTCATCACGGAATTCGAAGGCTTCAGGGCTGATATCTGTATGCATCCCACCAGATCACGTCTCATTCTCTATCAAAAATCCACCAACTGACATATTTCCATGCCGTTAAAAGACAAGGACCCTGCTGGTTACCCCACCGTGGGCTACGGCCATCTCTGCTCTGATTCCAAGTGCTCAGATGTCCCTTACTCCATCCCCCTCTCCCAAGCCAACGGCCGCAAGCTCCTCCAGTCCGATCTTGCCGTACGTATCCCCCATCCGCAGTGTGAATGCCGGGCAGCGAATACTAACTCTCAGAACCAACAGCCGGCCCAGAACTGCATCACCCTCGCCACCACCTCCAACGTCGTCCTCAACGCCAACCAGTACGGCGCCTTTGTCAGCTGGACCTTCAACATGGGCTGCGGCGCCGTCAAATCCTCCACCCTCCTCAAGCGCCTCAACGCCGGCGAGAACCCCAACACCGTCGCCGCCGAGGAGCTCCCCAAGTGGAAGAACGCCGGAGGGGTCGAGCTCCCGGGCCTCGTCCGCCGTCGCGCCGCAGAGGTGGCACTTGCAAAGACTGCTACTTCTGACAAGGCTCTGCCTGCCTGCTCCTGAGTGCGAGTGGGAGGAATTAGACGGTTAGAGCCATTGGGAGAAGATTGATGAATGAAGATTATGAATTGCACCTCCAATAATATAGTCTAGAAGGACGATGAAGAGATTCATCTGTCGGCGTTTCCCAGTGCAAATGCGTGAAATGAAATCAAACAGAAGCCTATTTTCGAATTTTTGTGCTCGCGATGGTGAGATATATGCTGCCCCGCGGGAGTATCGTACAATTCAAGAAGCAGCGGTAGCTATTTGTCCACTCCCCAGCTTCTCGAGGTGTCATTAATGCTATTAAATCACGGCCGGACCTTGATTCGACCCACGTCGAAGTATCCAGGCATGTCGTCCCATCGTAGCGAGATGGTAGGCGAGACCAAGTGCCGAGCTCCCAGGGTGAGGCACGCAGGATGAGGAATACCGAATAAAATATGGCTCAGACAACACGTTCATAAGCTCCGTTCTGTGTATCGTACAATGATCCAATCGATCTCGAATGTGGCTCTCTCACGATTTCCACTTGATATCGTCGAAAGAAACAACATCTCCATCGTAGGCGATATTCTCGGGCTTCACTTCAATCTTCTCCTGCAAATTGTAGCCCGCCATATCCATAATTGCTCTGCGCACACCCGGAATTCCGCCGCCGGTTCCAAGTCCCTTGGGCGAGGACCTCATACCCGCAGAAATGGCGTACACATCCGGTATCCAGCCCGTCCCCTCCTTCCATCCATTCTCTTGCGACGCACTCAGTTTCCGCAGCTCGGGTCGGATGGACTCGACGCTCTGACTGAGCTTCTCAGCCCAACTAGGCCCAAGGGTATCGGCCTTGGTGAGAACAATGAGGGTCTTGCAGTTTGCCTCAGCCAGTGCCTTCAGCACGTTCCGGTCGGAGTCGTGTGCATCCCCTGGTCTATTGTAGAGCAAAACGGCGCCGCGAAGAGACTTGCGCTTGTTCAGATACTTAATGATCGTATCCCCCCAGTCCATGTGGCTCCTAAATCCATAGCCAGGGGTGTCCAGAAGCCGCAAACCATGTCTCGGAGGCCGCATGCCTTTCTCCAGAAGGTCCTTGTTGATGAATTCAGGTGAGCCTATTCCAAAGACGTTCATTGTCGATGTGTGGCCTGCCTTCTTGCTCACCTTGGCAGCGTCCGAACGCCCGAGGAGGGCGTTGATGAAGGTCGATTTCCCCACATTTGACCGTCCAAGGATCACAATCTCTGGGATGATTAGATTGATAGGGTGGTTCTTGAGCTCGCTTGCCGAGTAGAGGAACGCATAGCGCTGGCGGAAAAACTTGTCTGCGGCGTTCAACGAAGGCCTATCCTCCTTTGTGACAGGGGCTGGAGTCTGAGAATCTGGTTTAAAACAGATGGAAGATAGACGGTGCACGCTTTTATCTTCTGGGGGTTTTGGCTTTGGGGCTAAGGTGCTGTAGGGGCTGGTTCTCAATACCATGGGTTTCCAGAGCTGCTTCAGACCAACAGAGTTGTGTAGAGATGCTGGAGATAGTTGACTCCAGCATGTTTTTCTTGGACTATAACCACATGTTTTCGATCCTGTGCATAGTCTGGAGAGCCCAAAACCTCCTTTATACTTCAAAACTCCCGACATGGAAGTAGAAATGTTTAAGAAATGTTTCGGCAAATTATTTACAAGCAGACAATGCTCTTGGGATTGAGATTGATATTTACTGGACGGCTTATGTCAGCAGTGTCTACTCAGCACGACCTTCCAGAGGCTACCCTATAGCGTACCGGGAAACAGCGCCATCACAAATTTAGATGCAAAGGTGGTATATATTATAATATTTGATTGCTCAATAAGAGTCTTAGTGTAAAAGAAATCTGTATGTGTTTGTAGGAGGCTAGTTAGAGTGACGAGGCCGGTTCTTAGTTGTGGCCCGAGTTGAAGTTTAATCATATCGCAATACCTAGATGGAAAATGGTATTAATTTCATCCCCCTAAGCATTTAAGTGAGGGTGTATGTTTTTACTTTGATCGACGGATTCTATAGAGGTGTGAGATGTTAAATGTTTATCTAATTAATGTGACGAGCACGATAGCAAATTGTAATATTCCCGCATCAAGGCTTTAACTAGCATCGGCCCCGACACACTTTTCTCCGATGAGGAGTCTATTAGTTACATGCTTGTTTGACAATAACGAGCTGCTTCCCCCGCAAAACCCCAGGCTCTGCCTAATGCCAGCATCACCGGATAGTCGGAATCGGCGCTGTATCCGAACAACTTCAACCCCACAGCTAGCCATGTGCTCTTTTGTTTAAGAAGGTGTTGTTGCCTCTGTTCTCCGCAGAAAGGATGCTGGCCCAGAGTTCTCTTGGACAGTCAACCAGAAAGACTTACACAACGCCATATAGCGTCTAGTTAAACACAATGTCTAATCCAAGACCAATCACCTTTGACCCACGGGTCTTTGACCCATCCTCCATCACGGAAGAAGCCAAGGCTTTTGACGCCAAAGCGAAGGATGTTGAATCAAGAATGCCCAAAATCCAAATTGTTGGTGCCAAAGAAATGCGCCGCATGCGTCTCGCCGGCGAGACAGCCAGGCCTCCGCCAACTCTTGTCGAGTCGGCCACCGTCTCCAGCATTCCCTCTCGAGAACCTGGACGGAGCATCCCAATCCGCATCCTGACACCCCAAAACGGAAAACCAATTCGTGGCGTCTATATGCACATCCACGGGGGCGGCTGGTCGCTAGCAGACGAGTCCTTTGCCGATCTATTCCTGCAGGGCCTGGCCGACGGCCACGGCCTGGTATGCGTCTCCATCGGCTACAGACTTGCCCCCGAGCACCCCTTCCCAGCTGGGCCCGAGGACTGCTACGACGCCGTAGAGTGGCTCGTCCTCAACTCGGAGGCAACCTACAAGGTTCCTCTTGCTTTCATCGGTGGAGACTCAGCCGGCGGCCACTTGTCCATGCTTACCGGGCTTCATCTCCTCCAGCACTCGGACGAGAGGTTCTCCAGCTACCCCCTCAAGGGGCTGATGCTGCACTTTGGGGCCTTCTCGCTCAATTTCATGCCATCTGGACTCAACATGACTCAGAACGAGTCTGGTCTCAACATTGACTACGACGCCATGGTCTTTTGCCGCGACCAGTTCCTGCCTGGCTGGACGCATGAGACGCTCATCAGGCCGGACGTGAGCCCTCTCTACACTAACCTGGAACCCCTCCGAGGGAAACTCTACCCGGTACTCTTCACCTGCGGTACCAGGGATGTCTTGATTGACGATACATTGTTCATGAGTGTAAAGTGGTTAGCAGCTGGAGGTGAGGCCGTTGTAGAAATCGTGCCTGGTGCGCAACATGGGTACATTATGGCCCCACGGAGCCTCGTGGGAAGTGGCTCTGAGCAGGGTATGGCTGCAGTTGATCGTTTCATTGAGGATAAACTTCAGTAGCCTTACTTTGGTATATATAATAAAATTAGACGTTAAATCAAATGAATCCTCGATTTCTCCCTACCTCGATATCGGTGTTGTATTGGGATGGATTTAGGCTACAGGTTATACAAGCTCGTACCTACCTGGGTAGGTACCTAGGTACTACCTCCTGTCGCTGACTCAGCACAAAGCATCCAGGCAGCCAACCCTCCAAACAGGCATCGTCAAAGAAGTACAGCGAGCAAACAACCTGGCACCAGGCAATTGGATCCCACACAACGATGGACGACTTCCAAAAACGCATCGACTCGCTCCTGGAGAGCTACCTCGAGTTTCTGGACGAGTACACCCGCCTGCGAGCCCAGCTTTCCAAGCTCCAGGCCGGCGTCTACCAGAACATTGCCCGAGCCAACTTCTCCGCCGAGCGCGGCCTGCGCTACGGGCAGGACCAGTATGACGAGCGTATGCAGGCATCCAGGCTTCTGAGGATCTCCGCTGGCGACAACGGCGAGGACGATAGCGCGCCAAGGTTCCATGTAGAAAAATTCAACAGCTCTGCAACTGAAACGCCGCCTGCCACCGAGCCAGATCGTCCGAGCAGTGGGGAGGAGGAACAAGAGAGCGATGATGCTGCTCCTCAAGATGGGAAAAATGAACGCGACGAAAATAGTGTCGAAGAAGAAAAAAAAGAGGAAAAGCCGATTGGAGAGGAGGAACAAACAACCAGTACGGTCCGCAAGGATCCTCTGTTCTGGTTTGGTTTGCTTGCTCCGATGCCACTCCGCAATGCCCAAAGCCTAGCTATCGAAGCTATGGAGCAAATCATACCACGACTCGTCACCGTCAACGCTGAAATGCTCAGGCTGGAAATTGAGGTAGGGCGGGCTCGTAAAAGGCGAGCAAAGTTTCTACAGAAGAGCAAGGCGGAGCTGGTACCCACTGAGGCAGAAGTGCAGGCCACCACTCCTGCTGTTGAAGCTACATGAGGAATCAGTGGTGCACACAGAAACTGGAATTTTGCTATAATGTTCGGTGCTACCATGCATAAGCGCAATCTCATAGTCTATGTGTGCCCCTCTCTACAATATTGAAAGGAGCTGGCATAAGTTATTGTCAATAATACGCGTATGATCTTTTACGCCTCAGCTGATATTGACATGTTTGCCTACTTCAGAATGGATCATGTATAACACGTAGCCAAATAGCCCAATAGAGTATTGATGCTAGATTCCGATGCCGGATTGTAGGTTGGTGACATTTATTATATATTTGGGTATATTTAATTCGGTAGCACTCCTTGCTACTCATCACATCAAAATCATTCTCTTTTTCCTTTTTGAATGAGTTATCGTAATTCTGAGAGCATGTCGAGTACATCACCCAGCTGCTCTCTCAAGGGATCGGTTGGTTTGGTGCTTCTTTCCAACTGGCTGGCAAGCCCGGCAATCGAGCTGATCGAATGCTTGTATCTCTTTCTCGTTCCAGAGCTTGCGTTTGCCAAAATGACACAGCAGAGCTGCAACAACGAAATCTCAAACTCCTGTACGCTGGGGCTCTGTGGGGGATCGGGCAGGTCCCATGCTGCCACAGTCGTAATAAGATCCATCCACTCTTCAGAAGTCCCACCTCTCTCTAGCTCTACGACAGAGAGAAGGACACGAATGACGTCGATGCCTCGTATCATATCGTCTTCGCGGCTCGGTGGTTCTCGTACGATGTTTGTCAGGTCTTGGGCCAGCACCTTCCATCCGCCATTCTGCAACAAGATCTCTCTGCCCCGTTTGATCGTGACGAGCGGCTCAAGCGCAACAAGAATAGGCGACCGGAAATCTAGGTCACCGGAGGTTTTCGAAGTGTACAGGTCCATAAACATATCTGTCAAGCCGGTAGCTTCCTTCCTAAGAGAGTCATTCTCGTCTTCTCTCAGCCACAAGGCCAATGCCCGGATGGCGGAGAGTATGAATGGGTCTTGCTCCGCCGCATCTTTCATCGAGTCCCACGCCAGAGTCTGCCTGGTCCCCATCGATGTCACTGTGTTGGCACTTCTCGCTTCTGGATGAAGGCCCATGGCACCGGCAACTGATGCATCCCACCTGTCTCTAAGATACTCTACCGTCACCGACATAGTCTCTGAAATCGTCTGCCGCAACTTTAGAAGGCTGTCAGGCGACATGACCAAGGACCCCATGGATTCATCCTCAAGTGATCGAACTAGAAAGCCGATAAACATAGTGGTGGTATCGAACGCCGAAGCCAACCTTCGGGAAATCTTTGGATATTCCGGACTGTTAATTTTCGCTAATAGGGTGGGAGCTGAAGACCGGATGTCGATCAATAGCAAATTGACCAGTAAATAGCCGAGGGGCTTATCCGCGTCTTTATCGTCGGTGAATAATAACTTTGAGGCATCGTCTGGATATACCTGAAGCAAAGAAGCCGTCGCATTGGTGTAGGCAGACCGTGCTTCAGGGCTGGGTCGGCTTCTCACCAGATTTTGAATATACCCTACGACGGCACCCAGCCACTGGGGGTTTGGCGGAAATATCTATGAACCCAGAATTAGAGTGGTAGTGGAAGGAAATAGAAAGAAATACTTACAGATGAGTCGACTTGTCGCAATAGACTGCCTAGGAATTCGAGTAGTGTGACGGAGTCGGTGCCCTTGAACGAGGACACAAGGCTCTGTATCGTATCGTTTACACGGGACACAAGCGTCTGCTTCCCTTCAGGAGTACTCATTGTGTTCAGAAACGCATAAAGAATAATATCCAGGACCAGAGGGCTTGAGGGCGCAGCTTCCGTAAGCGGACTAAGATCCTCGACTTCAATAATGGCCTTGGCTCCTTGCGGTACACTTGACAAGGTATACAGTAACCTCAGTAGACTATCCATGATTTCAGGCGAACTACACATAGAAGTTGGTTAGACATTCGAGAACAGAAATCGGGATTTTCTAGGTTTTGGATCATATAAGAGCCACTTACCTATTAAGTACCGCTTGAATCAGAAGCGGTATACAGCGAGTAAACTTGGGTTCCCCAAGGGCATCTGCTGGCAAGAGAACGGAAAAGGTGTGCATGACAGAGACGGCCAAGTTTAACATGTCCTGTCCATTGGAGTTGGACGAAGAAGAGCCAGTTCGGATCAGCCTTCGCAAGAACTTGGCGGAAATACTGCCCCAGAGACTTTGGATTGCATCCTGGTCGTCCCGAAGCTGTGGCGAGTTATCGAGCAGCGACTTGACAAGAGCAAGCCCTGTGAATGTTTTGGTGTCGTCCTCTGCTTGGAGCAAAGCTTGAATCTTCCCAAGATCAACCAGATCGCCCGGGGAGGCACTATCCTGGGGCTTCCCAGTCCCCTCGCCTGTTGATGAGGGCTCCATGGTGAGTTGCGCCGTTCAAGGTGGGAAATGCAGAGCCTGCACTAAGTGAAGAAACCGCACCTTCTGGCTGTAGCGCTCACCTGGGTTGGTCTGAGGAAAGGTGAATTTCTCTCGACGCAGATCATTCATACATCTGTATATTTATGCTTGCTCCAGAATAGTGGGTGTTATAGAAAGGGCCGGGAGAATCTACAGATTTTAATCACATTTGCAGCCCGCCTATCGTGCCGATCTGGTGGGAGCCTCTAGCATTCAAAGTGCTATAGTAGGTTCGTCCACTAATAGCAATAGCCTGGCACCTGTGTCGCAGGGTTTAGATGGTGGTTTACAGTGGATCAGCGGTTCATCTGGCTATCATCCGAATCCGGAGAGTTGGAGGGTTCAGCACGTACAGGGTGAAGAAAATGTGTAAAATATGAGACATCCAGATACTGGAATTGGGTCGGGGAAAATACCTGTCCGAACCTGTCTCATACATATGCTGGTTGCGATGCGGCATGATTTCGCTCCTGATCTACATTTGCGTGCTTCTGAAGCTTGCAGGGCCAGGTCTGCGCTAAATATAGCTCTCAAAGTCCCTGGAGAGCTCTTACGTTGCGACTTGCAGGAGGGCGGCACTAGTCAAGGCAAGGCATCCAATCGAATCGAAACCAAAGCGCGACGTAGCGAATCAAGACTGGCTGCTGCTTCTAGCTGTGTCCTGCCTGCTGTCCAGAGCTGAAGATAAGATAATCATCAATTGGCAGCATCCAACGAGCCGACGTCAACACCACCCGCTCCCGCAGAGCACGTCGCAGACCGAGATCCCGAAGCTGTCCAAGTGATAACCCTCGTAACGCCGGACGAAGCTCAGCAAAAAGATGGAATAACTGGCACAACCATGCCTGCCAGACCCCATAATGACTTGGCAGCCTCAGCCTCTTCCTCATCGCACTCTCCAGCCGCCCACACCCCGACCTCAGTTGACGACCGCGACGAACTAGACTTTCTCGGCGACGACCCGATCGACGATGGCCAGGACAGAGATGATGACGTTCTTGAGGATGACCCGCTCGGAGGCGAGCTGGGCGGCCCCGTCTCGTTCAAGCGCAAGCAAAACTCGTCCTTACTCGCGAGCACCGGCCGCATACTCTCCAATCTAGCAGGTGGCTCTGGAAGCCAGCCATCATCTGGCGATCGCCCCGGCTCGGGCGACAAGGACAATGCCCCCCTCGACTGGTACATGGAGGGTCCAGGGAGGAGAGTTGGGTATGAAGATCTGACGGCAATCGATTGGATTTTCGAGTACAACAAGGAGCGACTGCGGCTGCGCGGGTTGGCCTCCGGCGCAGGTGGGCTGGTTGGGTATCTCATAAACTTCCTGGACTCAAGTCAGATCTGGGTGGTTGTGGTATTGACAGGCCTTGCTGTGGGCGCAGTCGCTGCCTGTATCGATATTGCTTCCGACTGGTTGAGCGACTTGAAGGAGGGCTACTGCACCACTGGCCCTGACGGAGGAACTTTTTATTTAAGCAAGCCCTTTTGCTGTTATGGCCATGACTACCTTTCCGATTGCGCAGGTTGGAGGTCATGGGGCGCTACGTTTGGCCTCAATGGGGGGGCAGGCTCATGGATTGTCGGCTACGTATTTTACACAATACTCGCTGTAAGCACTTTCTTGACACTGAAGCCATTACTGGAGACTGTGAGTGTGCTGAACAAGTGAATTAGGTGACTTTTGCCGTTCTTGCTTCTGTACTGGTCCAGGACTATTCCATATGGGCCAGGCACAGCGGTATCCCTGAGATCAAGACCGTTTTGGGTGGCTTTGTGATCCGTCGGTTGCTGGGGCCCTGGACTTTGATCACCAAGTCTCTCGGTCTGGTAAGTTATCTGACCTTGGCATTAAAGACAAATATCATTGCGATACTGACTCTAAGCTAGGTCCTGGCTTGTGCATCCGGCATGTGGTTGGGTAAGGAAGGCCCATTGGTTCATGTGGCATGCTGTTGTGCCAATCTTTTCATCAAGTTCTTCCCAAGTCTCAACGGCAATGAAGGTAGGCGCCATACGATTCGAGAATAGCCCATGAGGAATATCGTATGCTAATGTCGTTCTCTAGCGCGCAAGAGGGAAGTTTTGTCTGCAGCCGCAGCCTCGGGGATATCTGTAGCTTTCGGCTCTCCTATCGGTGGCGTCTTGTTCAGTCTCGAGGTAAGCATCAGAGAGAATACCTTGTTGACTTGGTCGGAATGTTTACTCTGATTAGACCCTTTCATACTATTTCCCGGATAAAACCATGTGGCAGAGTTTCGTCTGTGCCATGACGGCAGCAGTCTGCCTCCAAGCATTTGATCCGTTCCGTTCAGGCAAGTTGGTCTTGTATCAGGCCAAGTATAGCGTTGATTGGACGGATTTCGAAATCATCCCTTATGCCATACTTGGCATCTTCGGCGTATGTATCCCTTGCGCATCTCGTCCATGCCTCTGTGATATGATGAACTGACCCTTGCAGGGAATTTACGGAGGGCTATTTATCAGGCTCAACATGGCTGTGGCGCGATGGAAGAAATCCACTTCTTGGCTCCCCGGCCCGGTCTTGCAAGTTCTTGTAGTAGCTTTGATCTCCGCCCTTATTAACTACCCCAACTTTTACCTGAAAGTCCAAACATCCGAGTTGGTTTCGAACCTCTTCCGCGAATGCTCCAAGATCCGCGACGACCCTGTTGGTCTTTGCAACACTGGTGCTGCTTCATTATCTACAATATTCCTCCTATTCGCGGCAGCCTTGCTCGCCTTCTTCCTTGCTGCCATCACCTTTGGGCTGCAAATACCTGCTGGCATCATCCTTCCGTCCATGGCTGTGGGGGCGCTTGTTGGTCGTGCCTTGGGCATCCTCATGGAGATGTGGTACAACAGCAACAAATCTTTCTATCTCTTCAAGAGCTGCCCACCGGACACCCGTTGCGTGATTCCGGGAACCTACGCCATTGTTGGAGCCGCTGCTGCCCTTGCCGGCGTGACCCGCCTGACAGTTTCTATCGTTGTCATTGTGTTTGAGCTCACTGGTGCTTTGACCTACGTGCTGCCCATCATGGTCGCTGTAGTGATATCGAAATGGATTGGCGATGCTTTCTCACGCAGAGGTATTTATGAAAGCTGGATTCATCTCAAGGAATATCCGTTCCTCGACAACACCGAGGAAATGCCCCTTCCAGACATCGCAACCTCCCAAATCATGACACGCATCGAAGAGCTCGTCGTCCTCACCGCAACCGGACACACCATCTCTTCTCTCGAATCTATCCTGGAAATGCACCCATACCGTGGATTCCCCATTATATCAGACCCCCGCGAAGCCACCCTGCTGGGCTACATCTCACGCACGGAGCTCGCATACAACTTGCGAGCCGCTACGCAAGAGCCTCGTTTCCTGCCCCCAGACGCTGAAGCGTACTTCTCCCACCAGCCGCTCGCTGACCCGCGAACCACCCTTGACCTGCGTCCCTGGATGGACCACACGCCCATCACCCTTCCCTCCCGCACCGCCCTTCACCTTGTCGTCACCTACTTCCAGCGTCTTGGGCTCCGCTACGTCCTATTCTCAGAGCGCGGCGCCCTCCAGGGCCTACTCACCAAAAAAGATGTCTGGTACGTCCTCAACGGCGCCGAGGAATCGAGACACAACGCGGCACACGGTGGACCGGGCCACCACGCCGGCGGCAGCGCACTAGAGGAGAGAGGTCTGTTGAGAGCCTTTGCCGATGAACCTATAACGCCAATGAGGGAGTCTATGCTATGATTTGTTTTTATACAAAACGGATGGATCGGGTATCGGATATGTATTGCTTTTTGTTGTTTCTTATTTAGCCCCGTATCTCTATATAGAACTGGTGGATCGTTTCTTTGTTATAAATGGATCTTTCTACTGAAATATTTATGAGGACTTGTAATGAACTGAGCCATCTCTCTGGTGAAATCAAACGGATACACAGTGTACACTCTTCTATATAATCCATCTGGAAGACGACATGGGTAGTACGATCAACACTCCCTGACTTAATTATAATTTCTCGGACTTATTGCACGATGTTTCACGGAGTAGATGATTTTTCATGCTTCGACAGTCACAGCAAGAAGACGAAGGTATACAGCCACAATGGTGAAGTATATGCACGCTAAATAAATCAAGAAGCCGTTCCTGCTATCCGTTATCATATCCCTTGAGACGAGAACTATTGATACAGCGACGAGAGGCACGGGGCCCCAAAAATTGTGTGAAGAGAGGGGGATTAGAGCGACTAGTACTCGAAATCGTCATCCACAGAAGGTCCCTTATTCTTCGTGACACTCTCCTGCTTGCGATACATCTCCGCCACTTGACGACTCGAGGTGGCCTCATCGGGCTTCTTGTCATCACGGATCTTGATGAACCGGGGGAAACGGAGACTGATGCCCTTTTCGCCCGAAGGATCAACGCCTTCCTTCCACCCAGCCTTGTAGCGGGGGCTGAGGGTCAAATCGGCAGTCTTGACTTCCCAGACGTATCGGGGCTCGAACCAGACGTCTGGTTGATGCTGTCCTCCGGTAGAGTGTGAGTAGAACGGCTTGGGGCGGTCGATCGTGATCTCTGTGAGCTGTTTATGCAGATCTTCCAAGACTTGTTCGGAAAAGCCAGTTCCAATATTGCAGACGGTTTCATAGGTGTCGGTTGAGGGGTTATAGCAAGCAAGGAGGAAGGCACCATAGACTGATGTACGCTTTCCCTTGCCGTGGTATGCGCCGAGAACAACGAGATCTAGGGAGTCTCCCACGCCTGAAAGATAATCCTTCTTGATCTGTCATCTTCAGTTAGCATGCATTCAAGAGTTCTGGTTAGATGGATATTGGATGTGCCACTCACCTTGAGCCAGTTTCTACTGCGTTTACTGGGCTCATATCCACTTTCAGTTCCATCCAACATCTTAACCATGAGACCTTCACAGCTAGCCTTCACACTGTCATCCAAGAATACTTGAATCTCGTCAAGTTCTTGACCGTTCATCGAGGTTGCAAAAGCAAATTCTCCTTCCACAGGAATGAATGCCTCTCTCAGCAGATCGCGGCGCTCTCGAAGAGGCTTCTCGACGACGGCTTCACCGTTCATATAGAGCAAATCGAAAGCAAAGACACAAACCTTGACTGTGACATCTTCGACCTTGACGTCCTTGCGTTTTCGAGTCATCAGTTGTTGGAAGGGGAGCACCTTTTTCTCCTGCACATCCCAAGCCACTGTCTCACAATCCAAGACGAAGCTCTTTGTGTCCTCCTTAACCCAGGTGTGCAACTTGGCAAGAATGTCCGGGTATTTCTTTGACAAGTCTTCAGAATTTCGAGAAAAGATGCTGGCAACACCAGTCCCAACCTCTTTGGTCGCGCCGGCAGTCGTTTGACTGAGTTCTTGAGGAGCGTCTTTGGCGACGTAATGAATTTGGGCACGTTCGCCATCGTATTTATACTCGCAGGTAAATGTTTGGCCTTCAAATCGATCTAGGACCTCGGTGATGGCCTTGGTAGGTTTGGCCAACATGGGTTTCAAGGGAACACCTGGTCGCAGCTTGCAGTTATCTCTTAAGTTCATGATACCGTGCTCCATCATGGCTGGAATAATGATATCGTAACTTGGAAGCTCGCTGTTATGATGGTCAGTTACCTGCGTAATCTTTTGTTATTTTTTTTGGGGTTGTCAAACCTGTAGACCGTCTTGAGAATCGACTCTCCCTTCTCCATGTCGGCTGTACTTGGCACTTTGCCTTTGGCGTCAGCCTCGTGGATAACTATCGCTTGCGCCAGGGAGACTAGCACGGTCCTTTCAGCAAGACCGAGCCTGAGCTTGCCCTCGAGAAATCGAACAATGTATTTGGCTTCACTCGGTCCTCCCTTGTCCTTTGTGATATCAATCTTGCCGGTTCCTTGCGAGTCAGCAGCGGAGAGCAGCTTCTTGATACCATCAACTTTTCTTCCCTGAGCGCCGTTGCCAGACACAGTCGCAATATTCATCAGGCCCTGATGAACACCCTTGACGGTCAAAGGCTTAGGCTTGAACATTGTAGGCTGAGTCGATCTGCTCTTCACAGCTACGAGTCCAAGATCACCAATCTCCTTCTGATCTGCCTTGATAACCTGAAGGCTACGACCCGTGGTCTCTCCGATGGCCTTCATGATCAGCGACTCGCCGATACCCAGCTCGATTCCGGCATAGTCAGGAGCAAGCTTGTTGATCATCAACAGAACTGTGGGAAGGAGTTCGTCAGGAGTCAACCGCATGACTTGGCGGAGAAAGAGCGAGCAGTGCTCCATAATGATCAGACGCTTGGTTGTCATCTCAATGAGCGAGAACGTCTTGCAAAGCGCTGCATAGGGAACTGGGGTTCCGGCCTTCCAGTCTGGGTATGGATCCTTGGCCGTCTTCGACTTCAATAGCGTCTGGGCCTTCTCTCGCGCCTTGGCTGTCACCTCGGGCTTCTCATCTTCAAGATCGGCTTCGTCTTCAGCTTCCGATGCGCTTGACTCAGCAAAGATGTCTTTCTCCTCGGAATCCTCCTTCTTGACTGCCTTTGTAGGTGCAGCACTCTCCTTCTTGCCCTTTGCCGGACTGCTCTTTTTCTTGCCATTGCTAACTGGGCTTTTCTCCTTCTTGACTCTGGGACTCTTGGGCTCAGGCGTAGCCGATTTCGACGGGACCTCGTCTTCTTCGTCATCTTCGATCTTTGGGCGACTTCTTCTCGCTCGTTTAGTGACAGGGGCATCGTCTTCCTCCTGGTCGTCCTCGGCGACCTTCGTCCCGCCAGTCGAAGGTTCCGGAGCCTTGCGTCCTCGCTTCTTCACTTCTATAAAATCGCATTAGATCATTTCCTGCGACAAAGCAATAGGCGGGTGCAATCCCGCACCCTTTTCGGCTTTGGGAGCCTCAGCGCTGCTTGAGCCATCCTCTGCTTCAGGCTCTTCCTGCTTCTTCGGCTTTGTAGCAAAAGAGAGCTTGGTCTGCTGTTGAGGACCCTGGCCCTTGGCACCAAAAAACTTCCTGTAAAAATCACCAAAAAATAATTAGCAGCGAGTCCAATTGAGCTCTTGCTTCCCGAAACACACCCAATCGTCGTCTGGCTCGGCTTTACATACCCCAGTGTAGCTTGCTTGGGAGCCATTCTGACCGAGTTGTGCGGACCTGTCCAGTATCTTCTTAATGGAGAAAAATTCAAGAAGCGCTGATTGCAGGATCTCTGGATCAGAGTGCACGCAGCTGGGTGGGAGGGCGAGGGGGTTATTAACAGACGGCAGCCTCTTGGGAAGCTGGGACGGTGCATGACGCGCTTCTAGGCAGAAAGCGCGTTAATTGGACTTTCGCGATGCGCCAAAGGGAAATCTGAGCGACGCGGGCTGACGCCAAGCACGTGAGCCACAGCCACCCCACCTTGCTGCCTGCATTCTGCCTACAACCTACAGACATGTCGCAAACGCTGGCCGTAGCAGGAGCCGCATTCTCTGTGTCATCGCTACTCATGTCTCAGTGTGATGCTGGATCGGCCATTATTATTTTAGTTTGATAGCGTTATGAACATCTTGGCCATGGCAGATGACGGTTCTAGTAAATATAGGTTTTTACCCATCGCACGCACCAGTCTGCAATGTTCCGTCCTTCTAAACTAAAGAAGTATAATACAAGTAACAGCTAAGCCAATGAGATCATTATATAGTATAAAAAGCAGCTTCAATCAATGACCGCCTAGTTGAAGAAGTAGTCCTCATCAGTGGTGCGGCCACGGATGGAAAGGGGCTCGCTGCCTCTGACGTAGATGTCCTCGAACAGGATGGAAGACTTGGCCTCGGGGAAGGCCATGGCCTCAGCTGCGGCAACCTCCTCCGCAACGTGGTTGCGGGCCTCCTTGTCCAGCTTCTTGAGCTCGTCCTCAGTGGTGACTTGCCAGTCAAGGATCTTCTGCTTCAGTCCAGCAATAGGATCGTTGGTGGAACGCATGCGCTGAATCTCCTCACGGGTACGGTAGGTGGTACCGGGGTCAGACATGGAGTGACCACCGTAGCGGTAGGTTACGTACTCAAGGACAAGAGGACCCTTGTCGGCGGCGGTCCACTCCTTACCATACTTGACAGCAGCCTTGACAGCAAGAACGTCCATACCATTGATCTTAAGACCAGGAATGTACTGTCCACGCTTGTAGTACTCGGTGAGAGCTGAGGAACGAGCAGCGGATGTACCCATACCGTACTTGTTGTCTGGAGTTACAAGGTTAACCATCAATTACACCGAAAGACCGACAATCTCTCCGATAAGGAAGAAAAAACTCACTCTCGCAGCCAAAGAGGGCGGGAAGTCCCCAGAGCTTAGCCATGTTGAAAGCCTCGAAGACCTGGCCCTGGTTGCTAGCACCGTCACCGTACAGGATGATACTGGCGTTCTTGTTGCCGTTGTACTTGTGGGCGAAAGCAAGACCAGCACCGACAGGGACCTGGGCACCGACAATACCATTGCCGCCATAGAATCCCTTGGCGAACATGTGCATGGAACCACCCTTGCCGTAGGCAATACCCTCACGACGGCCGAGGAGCTCACCAATGATGGATCGGATGGTACCTCCACGCATCAAGGCGAAACCGTGGCATCGGTAGGAAGTGATGACATCGTCCTCCTTGGTGATGGCATGCTCAATACCGACGGCAACAGCCTCCTGTCCAGTTGACAAGTGGCAGAAACCTCGGATCTTCTTCTCCTTGTACAAACGATCGGCCGCCATCTCCATCTGTCTGCGCGAATATTAGTATTGTGGCCAAGATGAACAGAGAGCACCAGATTCTGTCTGGGCCCATTTCTCCGACTCACCTGACAGTGACCATGTCGGAGTACATCTGCTTGAGCTCGTTCTTGGTCACCTCAATGGTGTAAGGGGGGGGATCCAGCTCGTATGTCTCGAAGCTCTCGTCGCTCAGGTTAACCTGGAATGGCTCATCGTCGGACTAAAAAATTTCGGAACAATTATTAGAAGGGTTCAATCAAAATAACGAGGATGTTTGGTGAGCCAATATGGTTCGTTGGAGATATCCTTACTTGCGGAACATTTTGGCTCAGGGATGCAGAGGCGGCATCGGTTGTCACAAAGCGAGAACCAATTGAGAGAGCGGCAGGGACACGAGCACGCAGTGGCAGTGCCCTGGGGGCTCGGATAGCTCTGGCAAACATCGCGAGCGGTTGTGATATCTCTGGGCGACGGATAGACAACGAGGGATAACTTGGAGACCAGGCTTGGCTAGAGCTCCGAAAATTGCGATGTTGAAGTGTTGAGCTTCTCTGTTGGTACGCGCTAGTCCTATTCTACATTAGCTTATCGGCACGTGACCTCGGTGTTTTGCAAGTCCACCCGAGCTCTTCCTCTAGCGTCAGAGATATTTGATGAACGTATGAAATCCAAGCCTCAATTACTTCGGTCAGTCATTCCGAATCTTGCGAATGGATATTCAAAGGTCCACAGCAGATTGATTTCTTCTAATAGTCAGATGGGCGGTTGTTTGCGCGGTCTAGAGTGAGGTGAGCTGATAACTATTGACCCAATTAAACTGTCCAAGTGCAGCCGTTGTTTAAGATAAGGACCCGGGTCGGGATCATTCGGTCTGCACTCCACTACCTATCGAGGAGAGAACGTCGCGAGTTGTGACTACTAACTCATAATTAGAACTGCTGACTTAGGACAACGCATGTGAGTATAGCACCAACGTATCAACACTTGGGATGCTTTTGGTAACACAGTAGGAGATGGAATATGAATACATGCTTGGTCATTAATGCCATTAGAGTAACAACTCTAGTCATTCTTAGCAATACTATGTCGTAACGGGGTTAAATCCCAAGAAATGATAAGAAAAAGTCCTTCAAAGCCCAAAAAAAAAAAAAAAAAGCCCACGTGGAGTGGCGTAATTCCACGTCTGTAATGTTGTACCTGCACCGTTCGGTAATGAGTCGTTGGATCCTTGCGGTGTCCCAAAGTATCACATTTCCCACCTCCTGACAGAGCAACGCCGTAACCATGCACCCCAAAATTCCCTAGAGGACTCTATCCCTAAAGCGCGCCCAATATGCAATGCCAAGATTGGTCGCCGGACGCCCGATCGCTGAAGAAAGCAGGTCAAATTCAGCGCCTGTTTGGGCAGCTCAAGCCCAAAAATGAGTACAGTAAATAAAATAAGTCAACACATTTATGTGTGATAACGATTAGTCGTCATGAAAGAATGTCGTATTTCCGCCTCTACTGGAGGCTGGGCCACCATCAACACTGACACCGCGGATGGCACCATCCTGACTGGAGCCTGTGCTCATTGGTTGGGGGCCAAGATAGTCCAGTGCCATGGCGCTTAAAGGTCGGTCTGGGTTATCCTCAATCACACGCTGCTGCAATGAAGGTGGACGGTCGTATAGCGCCTCCTCTGGTGGAGAAAATGTCCAAACCTGGGGATTGTCAGTTTCGCGCGAGATAGAAGGAGCGACAAAAGAACTTACCTCCATGACTGTTCGCCCCTGTCTGAGGGCCAATGCAACACACTTCTCATCTTCAAATGCCACCCTCCAGACGGCTTCTCCTTGAGCGAGGAGCTCTCGCACTAGATGTCCAGTCTTTAGGTCCCATATCTTCACCCTGCCGTCACTCCCCCCGCTGACGATCCGTGTATCATCAAACTGCAAGGATGTGACACTGTTATCATGCGCGGCAAGCCTGTGAATAGGGCACATTTTCTCCAAGGACCATACTCTCACAGAGCCATCAGAGCCGCCGGTGACAAGAGTATCTCCTCTCATTTGAAGTTGCCCGACGAGCGATGTATGGCCTTGAAGGATAGCAAGGCATTCACTACGTAGTCATTAGTACGGATCTCCTCGGGGAACGCGGAAGTGGTTCTTACCCAGTTGTAGGATTCCAGATCCTGACGTTGGTATCAAGACTGCCAGTTACAACTCTCTTGCCATCAAAAGCAATAGCGTAAATCTGACTGAAGTGGCCAGAAAGGGTTTGAAGACATCGTCCTTCAGATATGCTCCAGACCCGGGCAGAAGTATCGTAGCTGCCAGATACAACGATATCGCCCTTGATCTCCAGGCACCGTACACTGGATTGATGGCCGACAAGCACTATTCGGCAGAGACCAGTCCGAATGTCCCAGATTCGGAGCGTCGTGTCTCGGGAACCTGAAATGGCGGTGTTTTCATCTGCCATCTTCAGGCAGCGAACTGTGGAGGTGTGGCCACGCAGCGTGTGGAGGCAGGCCCTGGTATTGAACATTAGACAAATACTGGAAAAGATCGTCATTTGACTTACCCAGTCTTCAGGTTCCAGACGCGAACATCACGGTCGCAGCCTCCACTGACAAGTGTGTCACCCCAGGGCACCATGGCCCAAACCCCCATGATGTGACCTTGGAGAGTACGTTGTGAATTACCCTCGCTGTCAAATACATGGATCTTGGCATTATCAAGAGCCAAGATGATATACTTTTGAGTTAGGTGAAGACTGGTTACAACGCCGCCTTCTTGAGTTATATTCCTTGCAACACAGGAACCACCGGATCTCCAAGCAGCCTCAACCAGGTAGCGCTGCTTGAAGTGGGATTTATACGACCTGAGTTTGGGTCTCCCGGACTTGGTAGTCGTCATGGTACCGTCAAAACTTCGTGAGCCGGATGGATTACTCGGGAAGAGGTTGGGCAAGAACACATTGGACATCTTCGAGTCAACGTTATTCAGAGGTCGGACAGACGGTCTGGCCGCCATGGGATTGCTTGCGCTCTCCACCTCCGAAAGTCGTCTTTGATAGTCGTGCTTCATGCAGAGATTCTTCCATGTCATGTCGTCACTTAGTAGATCTCGCCATCTTTTGGAAACCTGAGATGCGCGGGCAAGAACTTTGGGGTCATCAATGAATGAGAGTATCTTGGATAAAGTCAGGACTAAGGCTCAGAAATCAGTGGTAATAGGAGATATACGTACCCTTAAGCAAATCTCGTCAGGTAAGCTGGTAAACGGATCCTTCTTAAGCAACGGGCTGACAAATTGATGAACAAAGCTCAGCTGGGGACTTGTGCACAAATTGAGAAGATCCGCGAGTATGCGTGTACGCTGCGGCCCAGAACAATCCTTGAAATGTGATCGAACTTTAGCGAGAAAGAAGTCTTCGTCATCAGCAGCATCACTCCAGTCCGGCTCATAGCGAGACGGGCCAGGAGAGGCAGCTGGGGTTGGAGGAGGGGGAGGCGATCCAGTGAGCTGTTGGTCGAAATCGGCAGCAGGCGTGGTCATACTCGGGGTAGGAGGACCAGCGTAAGGTCGGGGCTGGATTATCTTGTCGAGTCGGGGGTTGGACATGGAACCGGCCGTGTCCAACACGAGGTCGTCACTGAGGACGCTACCTCGTCGTTCTGAAAAGCTCATCGGTGGTGATCGGTAACCAGCCATAACGGTACAACAAATGCCAGGACTAGATAGGCGAGTCGTCCCTTCAGAGAGTTTGATAGAAGACGAAAGGAGAGGAGTTCGAGAAGGTAGCCAAGTCCGAGTCGTATCAAAGCTGGCTCGATCACGCAAAACAGAGAAGCTCAACCAGGCCACAAATTCAACATATGGACTCTCCTGATTCTCCTAGGAGGAAAAAGGTCGTTCAGATTGAAGGAGATGAGGTTATCGATCGGCCTTATGCCTCGCCTCGAGAAGTCGAAGGAGAGGTTATTACGTAGTGGCGTACATGTATCGAAGGTGACGGGCGGGCTCGCCAACTCGGGGTGGGATATATGGCGGGGACGGATGAAGATGCTGCACCCAGAAACTGAGCAGATGGAAACAGCGATGACAGCCAAAAAAAAAAAGGGATTCGGAAGGTGGGAATGACTCTGATGGATAAGGGCGTCGCTGATGATGAACTCCGGGGTCGAGGCTTCAGGGACGGAGGTCGATTTGCAAAAGAATGGGGCAGAAGGAGCGGAATGGGAGGCCAATCACTGCCAATGACCGACTCAGGCAAAGGCGGCAGCGAACGGCAGATTGGAGAGGCGCACCTGCCCACTAATTACCCAGTGCCTCTGCGCAGCAGCTGGCGGAACGGATTTGGCCTAGCGTCCTTGCCGCCCTTGTTTGGGCTCTAAAACGATGGTGTCGGGCCCACCGGCCGCATTGTCCCTGCCCTGAGGCTGGAGTGCCGGCCACAGCGGGTTGGAGGGCTGGTTGGCGCCATCGCCACTGCCGATGGCTTCATCAGGTGACAGAACGGCGGAGCGGGATCATGGATTTTCCGTTTTCATGGGCCTCGGGCTCGATGCAAGATCTACATCGCTCGTAGCCGCCGGTGGAGACTGCCGACTTGATCTTCAGCCAATTAGTGCCGTTTCTTTGCAAATGGCGTTGGCTATCCACGGCTGGGGGAGGCATCCGGTATCGGTGGCCCCTCTGCCCTCTCCGGACACCGGAGATCAGATTTCCATTAAATCATGGCCTTTTCGCTGTCTCTTCACTCGCGAAAAAAGGGAGATTAAATCTTAATTGCTTCTCCTCCCCTTCCCTTTCTCCGCTGGCTCCTTTCTTGCAACTCCATTGAAAGAAACTCAGCGCAGCTCCCACGTTTACTCCCATCCTCCCGAGGATTGACTTGTACACAATGCCCAGCGCAGTGTCTGCCCCACAAACTCTGTACGACAAGGTCCTGCGGGATCATACTGTCGACGAGAAGGAGGACGGTACTCTTTTGCTGTATATCGGTATGTGATTGGCTGCGCAACTTGGCCGCTTCATCTTCGAGAAGCACCAGGCTAATTAGACTTGTCTTTCGCAGATCGCCATCTCGTTCATGAAGTGACGTCGCCAGTACGCTCTTCCGCCTGCTTCCATACTTCCGGGAGCAGAATAGCTTCCCGTTGCATCCGCGCATACTAATTCGCAACACAGCAAGCTTTCGAAGGCCTCAAGAATGCCGGCCGCCAGGTGAGACGGCCGGATTGCACCCTTGCAACCATCGACCACGTACGTATCTCAAGCAGCCTTCCACTCCTGGGTGGGGATAAACCGTTTTTTTAACCGTTTTTGAATAGAACATCCCCACGACGTCCCGCAAAACCTACAAGGACATCAAGAGCTTCATCGAAGAACCCGACTCCAGGACACAATGTGCTGCCCTCGACGACAATGTCCGCGACTTCAATCTGACCTTCTTTGGTCTCGATGATGACAGACAAGGAATTGTTCACGTCGTTGGTCCAGAGCAGGGCTTCACTCTGCCGGGAACCACTGTCGTGTGTGGCGACAGTCATACATCTACACATGGCGCCTTTGGGTCTCTTGCCTTTGGCATTGGAACCAGTGAAGTCGAGCATGTCCTCGCTACCCAAACCCTCATTTCAAAGCGCAGCAAGAACATGAAGGTCCAGGTTGACGGAGAACTGGCTCCTGGCGTTAGCAGCAAGGATGTTGCTCTCTACGTCATTGGCCAGATTGGCACTGCTGGTGGTACAGGCGCTGTCATTGAGTTCTGCGGATCTACCATCCGGAGCCTCAGTATGGAGGCCAGGATGTCCATTTGCAACATGTCCATTGAGGGTGGCGCAAGAGCCGGCATGATTGCCCCTGATCAGACTACCTTTGATTATCTCAGGGGGCGACCTCTTGCTCCCGCATATGATAGCCCTGTATGGAAGCGCGCCGTTCAGTACTGGTCAACCCTGAAGACAGACGAGGGTGCCAAGTTTGACAAGGAGGTCTACATCAATGCCCAAGATATCCCCCCTACCATCACTTGGGGTACCTCCCCTGAGGACACTGTCCCCATCACTGGCGTCATCCCCAGCCCCGATGACTTCACAGACCCCAACAAGAAATTGGCTTGCGAGCGAGCTCTTGAGTACATGGATCTGGTTGCCGGAACCCCCGTACAAGATGTTACCATTGACAAGGTGTTTATCGGTTCCTGCACCAACGCACGAATGGAAGATCTTCGATCTGCTGCCCGAGTAGTAGAGGGCAAGAAGATTGCCCCCAATGTCAAGCTTGCCATGATCGTCCCTGGGTCCGGCCTGGTGAAGAAGCAGGCCGAGAGGGAAGGACTTGACAAGATTTTTGAGGATGCTGGTTTCTCGTGGAGAGAAGCTGGTTGCTCCATGTGCCTGGGAATGTACGTTACTTTGGACTTTCCCTTCCGTGTAATCACATCCTAACTAACATTGCTATAGGAACCCTGATATCCTGTCACCTGGAGAGCGATGCGCCTCAACATCCAACCGTAACTTTGAGGGTCGCCAGGGAGCTGGCGGACGGACTCATTTAATGTCACCTGTCATGGCCGCAGCTGCAGCCATTGCTGGAAAGTTGGCTGATGTGCGCAAGATTGCCGGACCTGGCCGCTCGTCTCCCGTTGTAAAGACGGAAGTTCATGTCGCCGTTTCTGACCCGGCTGAAGAGGAGCTCTCTGGCGACGATGACCTCGACCGCATCTTGGATATTCCCGAGGATGAGGCCCCCACCTCTTCTAGCGCCCCTGCTCCCTCCGGTGGAATGGACAAGTTCACAGTCCTCAAGGGTATCGCTGCCCCCTTGGAGCGAGCCAATGTTGATACTGATGCTATCATTCCCAAGCAGTTCCTGAAGACCATCAAGCGAACTGGCTTGGGCAGTGCTCTATTCAACCAGTGGCGATATGACGCCTCTGGGAAGGAGAACCCAGACTTCGTCCTGAACAAAGAACCTTATCGTCAGGCCAAGGTCCTCGTTGTCACAGGCCCCAACTTCGGTTGCGGCTCAAGTCGTGAGCACGCCCCATGGGCTCTTCTCGACTTTGGTATCCGCAGTATTCTCGCTCCTTCATTTGTAAGTAAAATATTCTAAATTATGATTCCTCTTCCATATCTCATACTAACTCATGACGCTAGGCCGATATCCATCAGTCCAACCTGTACAAGAACGGCATGCTTCCCGTTGTCCTGGACGCCGAGTCCCTTGAGCGGGCTGCAGTCGAGGCCAGAGCCGGCCGAGAGCTGGAGATCGACCTCGAGGCCCAGGTCGTCAGGACCGCTGACGGGCAGGAGATCGGCAAGTTCGACGTCGAGCCCTTCAAGAAGCACTGCCTCATCAACGGCCTCGATGACATTGGCCTGACGTCTCAGCTGGAGAGCAAGATCCGAGACTTCGAGAAGCGAAGAACTCAAAACACTCCCTGGCTGGACGGCTCCGGGTACCTGAAGAGGACCGGCCCCGTCAAGATCTCAGCTGCGCCGGTCCCCAAGACCAACCGCGGCGAGGTGAAGCAGGACCCCCTCGAGTGGTAACCAAGCAAACGCGAAAGGAAAAAAAAAGAAAGACAAAAGAGCCAAAAAAAAGTTGAATGCAAAAAGTTTAGTTGTTTATTGACGGATGATGTGTACATGCCAAGTTTACGAATTCAAATGCGCATATAGCCTTTCCTTTGAAACGCTTTCATGATTCCAGTCCCATTGTTCTATAGTAATTCTGTTCTCGGAATCAATCTCAGCAGCCCCGTAAGAGGGTCTTGAGTCTTGAATGCGCCGACAATCTAAGAGCCGTCCCATCACATAGCCGCCGTTAAAAGCAGCGCTGAATTTGTGGCGCCCGGGAGGAGCCCATGGATCATTCCGTGCCACAGGCTTGAACACGGCCTGCCTTGCTTCCCTACCTACCTAGTTCAACATGCATCCCCTCCCGAACACCCACCGCAGGTCCACACGCGTTTCCATCTCATGACTCGAACCCAGTCCTCGAACGCCCCAAGATGGGTGAAACCAGTGCGAGACAATCGGCTAGCTACACCTGCTGAGGTATAACAGGTGACGTTTGAAGCCATCTACCCTTTCTCTCCAACTTCCAGGTGGAGCCAGCTCAAGCGGGCAATGCCGTGCGGTCTGTTGGCCCAGTGTCGCATCCTAGACGGGGCAAGGAGAGAGGGGAAGGGCCGAGTGGTGCAGGCCGTCTCCTAGCGCCAGACGAGTTCATGCGGGCGAGGTTATTACGCAGATGGCTTGCATGATGACCTGGGCGGCTGGGTGTTCTTTTGCGTCATTGGACCTGCGCAGCTGTTCCCTCTCTTCCTGAGCCGCGGGTGGAAGGGACCAGCCACCCGAATGGAGCGCACATTGAGGTGTGATGATACTACCCAGGCCTGGGATGGGCAATGTAACCAACTCCTCGTTTCTGCCTCTATTGTTGCCCGAGTTAGGAAAGATGTCCAGGTTGTTCATTATTGAGCACCGGTGAAGTAGCATGTATTCACACTCGACATCAATCTTCAGCGGCTTCTCTGCCGATTTGCTCTGCTGGAGGGACCGAGCAGCCGATATCGCTGTTGATCCTGGCACCGTCTTAGTGCTTGAACCGATAGCGTGGATGTTTCTAGTCAGAAAGGCTGTATTGATTGCTACTGTACATCACAATTTAACCTTGGATTGAATTGAGAATCCCTTCATGGACACTCGGCGTGAATAGGCTGATCCCACCCCTCTTGCCTGCTTTGCCAAACCATCGCCATTTATGAGGGCGGCAGGCGCCACATCTCGTAGTCCCAAATACTGCATGTATATATATATTGATATTACTGTATGAAACCATGTTTGGTCTTTCAATCGGTATTTTTGGGGGGGGGGGGGGTTTTGCCGTATACAAGGGATATCCCAAGATCAGGCTATACATGACTAGATCTATATAATTTAATTTTAACTAAGTTTCAGTCTGTATCTAATCTTTAATTCTATTTTTTTTTTTACTTTTTTATTTATATAAGCTAAGGTAAGATAACAGCTTCTCTAAAAACTCTAAGAAGGGCTTGCTAAGTATATAACTTGGCCATAGGCCCCAAGGGGGGATGCTTATCATCAATAAGGTTGATAAGACGGCGTCCGGAATACGGCAGGTTAGCCAATTGCTACAATAGAATATTTGAAGAAAAATGCGATAGCTAATCCAAAGTTGCTATATGCCAATTGAAAGACCAAATATGGTTTCACACAGTGTTCAATTGGTATATTATGATTGGCTATCGTATTTTTCTTCAAATATTCTATTGTGGCAATTGACTAACCTGCCGTATTCCGGACGCCGTCTTATCAACCTTATTCAATTTGACTTTTCCCTCCCACAAACTTTTCGACAATTCGATTCGATTCCAATTCTCTTCCGCCCGCCCGACATCACTAACCAAAATAGATACCTTCCTGACGGCTGGCTGCCAGATAGAGTGACAGGCGTAGCAGGTGCAACTGCTGGGCCTGTGAGAGAGAGAGCGGCTTCGTTGCCGCAAGCAAACCTGTGACAGATTGCAGGCTTGAATGATTGATATCCGAAAGGAGATCTTGTTGGTTCTCGCTGATAATGACTGTCACGCGTGAGGACCCGGTTGCTCGCAACAACCAGGCCCTGGCTGCAGGGCATGACGACTCGCTGTTGTGAGTGGTTGGCGATAATGAGCTTGGAGAGGTATTGTGGTTGATTGTGGATAATGAGCGCCCCCCCTTGGGGCCCATAGCCAAGTTATATACTTAGCAAGCCCTTCTTAGAGATTTTGGAGATACTGTTACCTTGCTTTGGCTTATAAATAAAAAAGTAAAAATAAATAGAGTTAAAAAGGTTAGGTACGGACCGAAACTTGGTTAAAAATAAATTATATATGGATCTAGTCACGTGTAGCCTGATCTTGGGATATCCCTTGCATACGGCAAACCCCCCCCCCCCAAAACAAAGTATATTGACATATCTACGTAGCTTGACTTCAGCAACTACGTTTTTGTTCATGACTTCCTTGAAAGGCGGACTTAATTGATAGAATGGCAAGGGAGATCAAGGATGAATACATAGAATGACTGTTGTTCTTGATGAAGAAGAGTAACTCGTCTGAATAGCAACGGGGACGAACCCAGGTCTTGGTACCATTTTCCTACGACCGCGTCCGCTGACCGAGAATTTGCTCATATTGACTTTTCATTGCTTGTTGCTATTGAGGAAAGCCACGTTTACATCGCTTATTAAAGCTGTGGAACAACAGCAGCCTTGTCCAACCGAGTCTTATTGCATCCGAAACCTAAAAAGAACAACGCCTGGTAGCTCGCAAAGATCTAGCAAAGTATCAACCAGCGCCGTAGACATTCTATACATTTGCCCTATATTTACCTAGCCAAAAGCCCATATGAATCAAACAGACAACAAAGAGACGCCTTTTTGTTTTTCAGAAACACAGAACTAACTCTCAACCCTCTGGTTGACTAGTGATGATGATGGCCGCCAAGCTGAGCCAACAGAGGCAGTAGCATGCCTCCAACCGTGGCAAGGGTATCTATCATCTGCGGCCCCTTTGGTTGGCGCGGACTGCCGCTTTCAGAGTAGCCGTTCTGTGTCGTGTTGGAATCGTGAGAACCATCGTCGTTCATGGCGTGCATGGCGACATACCTATGACCGAAGCGAAAAAGACATTAGCGGCTCGAAAGCGAAATAGACTCTTGTGGGGCACCGAAACTTACAAGAACGTGCCTCCTGAGAACAGAAGCAGCATACCAGTCCACCACTTTCCAGCATCACCATCCATGTTGCCACCGCCAAGAATGGTGATGAGTAACCAAGTCGTCAATGCACCAGCGGGAGCAGCCAAGCTGAAGACCATCAGATGAGCCCTGGCAGCGCGCTTCGAAAGACCCTGCTTCAAGAGCACCGAAGTCAATCCAAACGACGCAGGAGCCTTGTGAATCATGATGGCGACGAAGACGATGAACCCGAGCTGCGTGTCCGAGGCGGTGGAAGAGGCTCCCATCGCAATACCATCGGCGGCGGCGTGGATGACAAGTCCAAGGGTCGTGGCCAAGCTTCGCGAGCCCTTGCCGGTGGACGAGAATGCACCCAAGAAACTGTCGTTCTCATCCAGCCTTGGAGAGGGCTCCCCGTTAAGGTTGTCCAAGCTGACATGGCGAGGCTGCGGAGGTTGCTGGAAACGCTCGCTCGCATGCTTCGGGATCCTCTCTATCAGGAACATCAAGGCAAAGCCCAAAACAAGTGAGAGTCCAATTTCAAAAGCAGGCACTTCCACGTGCCCCTCTGCATGATCATGGCTGTGTTCCTTTTCACTTGAACCGTGATCATGCTCATCCCTGGTTTGGACAGTCCTAGGGACAATGATTTCAGGGGGTGAAATTCCAACCTCGACCTCATTCACATTCTCGCGGGTACCGACATTTGGAAGACCACCAGCGTAATGGACGCGGGGCCCGAATTCCGAATCCAAGTCGTAACTGAGTACGACAGCCCGCACATTGTGAGTCTGGGCCACTTTGGACTTTGCCACTGCGGCGGCAGTAGCGGCTTCAATACCCTCAGGTATAATGATAATGAGAGACGTGCCGACCAGGACACCAACACCAATGCTTGAAATGAATCGCATCTGAGACTGTGAGAGCGTCATAGATAGGGGCAGAGAGCCGGCCAGAAAAGAGCTTGAGGATCCATTAGTAAGTTTTTCACTATCACACTTGTAAGAGATTAATCGGTCAACGGGAGACCTACGCCACAGCCATGACAGCCTGCCGAGGTGAATTAGCATCGTGTATAGATAGTATCATAGATGAGAGAAGACACCATCTGGTTGTCGAATAGACTTACACATAGTGCCAGTAATAAGATAAGCCCGGACATGTTGATGACTGGAGTGATAGACAGCAGCTTACTGCCTATCTGGGAATTGGGTTGAGAGAGAGCCTATCTACACCCCATTGGCTTCAGAAACAGGTCGCAGGAACAGGTCGAGAGAGCTTCTGGTTCCGCCGGCGAGAGACAAGGACGAAAAGGCGGATAGGCGCGTGGACCTTGCTGGATCGCAATGCAAATCGAAGCCAGGCTTTTGCAGGATCCCCACCCTTGCTTGAGGTCTTGGCGGTAGAAGCAGTTGCTCTGGTTGTCGTCTGCGGCTCAGGCCTGGCCCGGGAGGTCAGTGCTGCGGTGCGTGATCTGTGCCGCTCTGCAATGACGAGGTGAGTGAGAAATACGTGAATTGACGAGGCCGTCTCCTGAAGCTCCTGAATGCCGCCCGCCGCTGTAGCTTGGTGAGAGCTGACAGGGTGGCCACTAGTGGGAATTAGTGGCTGTAGGCATTAATAGTCGAGCTTGAGACACGCCCAGACAAGCGCTGCGTCAGTTCCGTGGCGGGGCTGCCAAAAAAAGAGTGGGACCGTCCGCGAAACTCCAAACTCATCAAGAATACTGCAACTCTGATTGGACTCACATCTCTCAAAGAGCCGACTGCAACTGCCTAACGGACAGCATCGAGCCTGCACCAGGCGACCGCTATCACAGCAAAGGTTTATACTATCACCGCACGCTCGCTCTTGGGTATGCCGCGCGTGTAGAAAACCTTTGACATGGCGCTCCCAAGATGAACGACACCGTCCAATCGCCAAAACGGCGTCACATTCTCTCTTCCATCAACCCGGACGAGGACGATGATCGCCCCAAGAAGAGCTCTCGACGCCGGCGCTCCCGCTCACACTCACCCAAACCGCACCGCGATCACGAGGAGAGCAAAGAGGAACAAGATGGGGATCCCAACGCACCCAGGCGCTCTCGCCTGCGACTGAAAGACCACAAGTCATCCCGGCGGCGACGCTCACGCTCTCGCGACAGCCGGCGCCACCACCACCACCATGAATCATCATCCTCCTCCCATCGCCGCCACCGTCGACACCGTGATCGCCCACGGTTGCCCACCCCTCCCAACCCCTTCGAGCCCGAACCCCTCGACCGCGAGGCTGCCTTCCGCGAATCCTTATTCGACGCCATGGCGGACGACGAGGGCGCCCTCTACTGGGAGGGAGTCTACGGGCAGCCCGTCCACGTCTACTCCAACGAGCGCGTAGGGCCCCAGGGCGAGCTGGAGCGCATGTCGGACGAGGAGTACGCGGCGTACGTGAGGCAGAAGATGTGGGAGAAGACCCACGCGGGGCTGATGGAAGAGCGTGCCCGGCGCGAGGAGGCGCGCAAGAACAAGGAGAAGGAGGAGGCCCACCAGCGGAAACTAAAGGAGCAGATGGACGAGAGCCTACGGCGGGGAGAGGAGCGCAGGCAGCGCAAGGAGTGGGTGAGAAGATGGGAAGAGTACAACGAGGCATGGGCGAGGTGGGATGAAGGCCCAACTGCGTCTTTGCCTTGGCCGTCTAAAAGTGGCGATCGGGGCAGTTTAGACGAGAAGACGGTCAAGAGTTTCTTTATCAATTGCCTAAAACATGAGGAGAAGGGAGAGAAGGGCTTCTTGACCAAGCTGAAGGAGGAGCGAGTGCGCTGGCATCCTGACAAGATTCAACAGAAGCTGGGAGGGCAGGTGGCTGAGGATACGATGAGGGAGGTGACGGCCATTTTCCAGATTATAGATCGTCTTTGGTCGGACATGCGAGACGGCAAGTGAGCTTGAATGAGCTCAATAAAAGCCAACAGGTTTCTTTATACTTCTCTATATACCCCATGGTTTTTTGTTAGAATACGCTTGGACTTCTTAGATAATAGGATCAGCAAATGATTTTCAGATTCACACTCATGGCAAAGTCATTTTAGGCACGTAAATAAATGGCGTAATTGGTTCATTTCATTGATTGGCAGCCGTACGTATACATAATTCTCATGTCATAACCGATGCTCATGCTCTCCATGCCGTCAGAAAAAAAACAAAGTCCCAAATGCGGAAGTAAACAGGAGCGCATCTTCTCTGTGTAAGTGCCTGTATCCTCCAGAACGAATAAAATGCACAATATTAGTCAACGGGGTATTATGTGACTTCTCCCCAAGTTTTTCGCCTTCGCCCATCAGATCTGATTCTCCTCCATTTGCATGAAAGGCATCTACAGGTTGAAGAAGACGGCAGCACCGCCGACCATGCCGAGCACGGCGAGGGTGACGGTGGGGAGGGTGGCGCCGCTGTCGTTGTTGCTGCTGCCGGTGGCGCTGGCAGAGGCGCCGGTGGAGGAGCCCTTGAGCTCGTTGACGGCGTTGCTGGCACGGCTCTTGAACTCCTCGACGGCGCTGGAGATCTCGCCAGCCTCAGAGGTGGCACTGGCCTTGGCGTCACCGGTGGCAGTGGCGATGACGTTGCTCAGGGAGGATTGGCGGGAGGCGGCGTCGGCAGTAACGGAGGCGACGACGCTGTTGATCACACTCTGGGCGTTGTCCGCGTTGGCGGAGGCGGCGGTCTTGATCTCGTTGACAACGGAGGAGAGGCCGTTACCGGCGCCATCCCAGATGCTCTTGATGTCGTCACCAAGGTTGTCGAAGAAGTCGCCAATGTCAGGGTTGGGCTGGGCCTCGGCCTTTGGGAAAGAAAGTTAGTAATGCGACTAATTGGTGAGTTTTCGTTGATCGATCAACATACCTTGACCTGGGAGACGGCAGCGAGGCCGGAAAGGAGGACAGTGGAGAACTTCATGTTGGTGAGTTTGGTTTGCTTGGAGTGGTTTGTTGTCTAGGTGTGCTAGGGTGGATAGGCTTGAGAAGAGCAGATAGCAAGCGATGGGGAGAGGATGAGGATGAACAACATGATCCAAGGGGGGAGGAGCACGGCTTAATTATACTTGGGCAGGCACGAAGGCGAGCTCCCACTTCCCTGAAGCAATCGGGACGTGCTTGGCTTGCATCAGAACCGCGAGGTACCTCAGGGCCAAGCCAAGGTACCAGTGCTACATTAATGCTTGGCAAATACACAGGGGGGGCTGCTGTCGTCGTCGCTTGAGGCTGGGGTTGGCCAAGGCATGGCTGTGCATCATGAAATCTCATCTCAGCCCCATACCCGTACCCATTCCCTTTGCACAATTCCCAGAGCTAGGCATGCGAAACTGCCCAGTCTGGACTAGGCCCTACGTAGCACGTTGCACATTGATGCTGATCAGAGAACATCGCTCTCGCAGTGAAATTGCCCTGCAGGGCGCAAGTAAGCTCGCCCTTCGCATCTTGCTTCCCTTTTTCTGACTGACGCGGGACATTGCAGGCGAAACCGCCAAGGCATCACTAGCCATGTAATAGCCCGGGGTCAGATGTAAGACAGCATCTGTTAATTAATCAATGTGTTTGCAGTGCATACGAACTAGGACACGAGATGCAGTGAGCGTCAGGTTGGATGGAGCCCATCACGAATCATGACACCCACGTCCACACTCAACAAGGCGGGACTTCGGGTTCGGGTCATCCTGGACCCAAGTTCCAAATCTCGCACGGCAAATCATACATCATGAGCCACAGCGCCTATCCCGAGCAGAGGATAACTCCACAAAGAATATGGGGACTTGCAGGTACCAAACCAACTCGCTGCCTCCGATTTGCACCAGAACTATGACATAGTGTCCCAGCCGGGTCTAGTTGACCGACCATGACATCGGCCTAATCCGCCAAAACCCCCAGAACAAAAATACCATTTCCAACGGCTGGCGCTCGGCAGCACCTCGTTGCTTCTCCTGTCTCGGCATCGACGTCTCCATTATGTCACAAACGCCCGACGCTGGCATTTCACATCGGTCAGATGCACACAGATCCTACACAGCAAAGAATGCGGTCTGCTCATCAAACACGGACTCCATCCCTCCCTCACACGACATATAAGCTCATCAGCCAAGCATTAAACCAAAATAAAGGACCACGGTTTTGGGCTGGCGGGTGGGGCTGGAACAGGGGGCCAAGCACAGAGAACATTTTCGCTCCCCCTCCAGCCTTCCTCCAGCCAATCGCGTGATTAGGGTGAGTTGGGTGAGCTCAGGCGGAGCTGAAGCAAGCCAAGGACTCAAACCCCCAGGCTAAAGACATCAGTGACTGCTAAAGGATGTATTGAGAGCTTTAGTCAAGTACTCTCAATTTCATTTTCACGGTCAAATTCCTCCTTGTCCTCCTTACAATAGTATCACAAACTCTTCTATCTTATTGGTTATGAAAAGTGAATTTTTTGTCCAATTGAATGTCATAATATTCCAGTGTGTCAGATTTCCCCTCTCTCCAAGGTCACAATGAGTAGCATAGCCTCGCCAGTCAGCCCTGGGCTTATTTGTTTCTATGGAAATGACAATCGACGACCGACTTTCCATTAAACACTGTCAAATGGCCTCTCCAAGAGCCATCCGTGCCAAACCTCAAAGACTCCGCTTCACAAAAGTTTTGTCATTTAAAGCCCATTGTTTCCTTCGCTGGGGCAACCTCTCCCCAAACCCAGCTTCCCTCTCAATCCAGTCATGGCCAGAAACAAGATGCGCGCTGCCTCTGCTCAAATCCCCCGCTCTTCTGGGCGACGGCGGAGTCAACGTCTTTTAGATCAATCTGGTGGCGGAACACCGCCCAACATCTTGGCGAATGAGGTACGCCAATGTAGCAACACCTTTTTCCTGCTAGGCATTGGCTTCGTCGTAAAATGAACTCTAGTGAACGCTAACCAGGCAGAGGCAGGTTCAATGCGAGATTTGCCAGCAAATTTGCAGCGCTTTCACTTCTAATTCCGAATATATCAAAATCAGCCTAGGCAATTGGAAAGAGACTATAGAGAGCTCCTGCTGTCCCTACCACCGACCGTTAATCTCGGCGTGCCGAGTTGGAAGCCCACCCACGGGAACGGAGAAGATCGAGATTTCCTTGCATCCGCACCTGGCAAAGGCCTCAATAGATATTATTCAAAATGG